AAAACAAATGTTAATTGACATTGTTTTCGATATCCTTTACCTACATACTCGTATCTAGTGATTTTGACACCTCTGTGTGATATAACTCAGTAAACATTTTAAGGCGCAGCCTAGAACATTCGGATATTATAGTACCTATAGCAAGAAGTTATTGTCTAGTGAAAATTATATAAACTTTTACCATTCATTCTTAGACTAACTACAAGTTCCTTTTTGAATTGCAGAATCCTCATCATGGGCACACAGGAGCGCCTAGGTGTGAATATCCATGTTGATCAGGTAAGTTGCTAACTTACTCGTGCTCTTATTTTTCCCAATATGTCTCGCTGAATACTTATCCCCCATTGACTCGCCCCAAACGAGCAACAAAGAGAATCGTGAACTTGTTTTCAACCAATCTCCATTCAATGCTATGAACTGAATGGGGGAGAGTGGAATAACTTTTAGGAGATATCGTAAGAGGCGATTACTTAAGGGAGAAATATGGGAACATCAGGCCTGGGGAGTGAAGGCTATATTTTAATTTTTCCTATTAAATTAGAGAGGGTCACCTAATCACCTTACAATGCAGACTAAATAAATTAAATTAAAAATGATGATCGTTATAACATCAAACTCCTTGTTCTTCTGATTAATTTCGTTGTGTCCAATGATAGTTTAGTTTTCTCCGGTACATACTTGACCTTCACTGGTTGGGTCTTTATTGGCGGTCAAGCTGTAGATCAGGAATTGCAGCGGTAGGAACGAGAAGTGGGAACAGTCCCGTTATAAGCAATGGTGTGGTGTTTCCAGCTGATGGACGGCATCGCGAACAGCTGCCCCAACCTGGAGCGGCTGGAACTACGTTGGGACCCTGAGAACCTGCGCTTCAGCGATAAGAGCCAGAAGGCAATCGATATTTTGCGCGTCAAGTGCCTCAAGCTGAAATGCCTTGTCCTCAGGTCAGTACGCTTTTACGCAGCAGGGCTACTCCGAAACGTTATTTTATGTAGTTCCTGGACTATCTGTCGCCGTCGCTCATGCTGGAATCTCGCTTTGCATGAGAGGGATACACTTCGGTAACGTTTTTGGGAGTAACCCCGTAGACACTATCACTTCCCCGTGGATGTCGTAAAGCGACTAAAGCACAAAATATGCTGATGTTCGCATTATTTTTGCCTTCTCCAACCCGTCTGGTCAGCGTGGGGGTGTAGGCCATCTTGTTTAGAGAGGCTCGTCATTATCCAACGGGTGTCAACGGTTTCCTATTTATATGCCTCATGTAACTTTTTCGCCACGCACAAGTTGTATGAAGTCCGTTTTCAACCGGCCAGCATTCCTCACGGGGCATGGCAACTTTAGACATAAACTTCACGAATTCAAACTAGTTCCGTCTCCTTTTTGCGAGTGTTCCACTGATGATGTCAGTCATCTAGGGATATTCGATATACATCGATGTATCGAAAACATCGATGTTTACAATGCGATACATCGAATGGATCCGATGTTTTGAAAAGCTATTGAAATACTCGATGTATCGATGTTTTTAAGTTTTCAGTGTTAAAACATCGAATCGATGATAACCAATTAATTAAAATTTCATAAAACTCAAGTCTGACCACTAAAATTTTACTTATACGGACCACCCAACTTGTATTTTAAAAATGTTGGCAACACTGCGTACGAGTGCAGTGAATAGTGTCTCTAGTGACAATAAAAAAAAACTGTTATGTCAATGTCGTGTCACGCGTGTCGGTTGGCGAGTTTTTTTGTGTCAATCAACAAAGAAATAGGCTGAAAGGCAAACGTTTAAATAAACTGTTGTTTTTGCAAAGTCTTCCAAAAGAACACTGGAAATACTTAGGATATAACAAACTTATAAAAATAAATGCGGATGTTTTTTTTTGTTCTTACTTTAATATACAGTGTGAGTCACGTTAAAGTGTACATATGAAAATATGTGAAACTAGACTTATTTTTATCGACAAAAAAAGGTCAAAAAAATTTTGAGATTTTTTTAAATTTTTTGAAGAATTTTTATTCTTACAATTACTTCTCGTAAAGAAAACGTAATAACTTTTAAAGTAAGAGGTATATCCTGATAAAATAAAAACAGTAATAATGCTAAATAACAGGCGATACTAAAAAAAAACATAAAATACCCAGAAAATTCCAACAAATAATAAAAAAATATACTTTTTGATAAAAATCTGCTTTTAAATTCGTGTTTTTTTGGTTATTTGATAAATTTCTCCAAAAAATGCCCCTATAACAGGTATTTTTTATTACTTTGTATTATTCTCTATCGTATTACTTTTGTAAAACCAAAAATTGCATGTCTCTATCCCTATCACAACATTTGCTATGATCGTTTGCCACCACATTATTCTCCACTACAGGTGGAGACAATTTTAATTTTAACTAAAATGCTTATTTTACTTCGAAATCTTTTGTTTTTATTTGAAATGTAACTCGTCTTTATCAAAATTACAAATCTAGAGCGAGTTTCAGTTTCGTTGTTAACGAAGCGTTGAATGGCCCGCCCGGAGAGGCTTAGTTCAAACGATCATTGCAAACATTGTGATAGGGATAGAGACATGCGATTTTTGGTTTTACAAAGGTAATACGATAAAAAATAATACAAAGTAATAAAAACCACCTGTTATGGGGGCATTATTTGGAGATCAAATAACCCAAAAAACACGAATTTTAAAGCAGATTTTTTTCAAAAAGTATATTTTTTATTATTTGTTGGCATTTTCTAGATATTTTATGTATTTTTTTATTTTATTTGTATCGCTTATTATTTAGCATTATTACTATTTTCATTTGATAAGGATATACTTCTTAGTTTAAAAGTTATTACGTTTTCTTTACGAGAAGTAATTGGAAGAAAAAAAATTCTAAAAAAATTAAAAAAGAAATCTCAAAAATTTTTGACCTCTTTTTTGTCGATAAAAATAGGTCTAGTTTCACCTATTTTTATATGTGCACTTTAACGTGACTCACACTGTATAATGAAGATTTTTCTCATGTATGGCTTTTACTGTTTTTTAATAATACAATGCTTAAATTAGTGGATTATAAAAAATCTTAAAAAAGTACTCGATTTATACAAAACATCGATGTTTTCTTCCAATACATCGAAAGAAATCGATGTACAGTTTTAAAATATCGAATCGAAAAAAACATCGATGTTTTTTCAAAGTGGACACCCCTACAGTCATCTCAGTCATGAGCAGTCTGCCCATCATATCTTGTGGGTGTGTGATCTTTGGAAACATGAACGTGATATAATGCTTAATTCAATACAACATACATCAGTTTCCGCAATTTATTACACCGGTCTTGTCGCGACAAGGAAAAATATCCGTGCTTTTTGTGAAAAATACTATTGGCAGGTAGTTGCTAATTGCTCATAAGATAGGCCCCCTTAATTTTTATTTATTGTCCGTGGTGCATAATCTTTTCTTAAAGGTTTTAAACCTTTTTTTTGTCACCTGTCATCCGCTTTGCAATGGAGGGAAGTCGAACCTTAATTTCGAACTCCTCCTATGTTCTTCTGATTAATTTCGTTGCGGGTCCAATGACAGTTTAACTTTCCCCCGGGACAACCTTGACCTTCATTGGTTGGGTTTTTGTGGCGGTTAAGCTGTAGATCCTGGCTACACAGGAGTTGCAGTGGTGGGAACGAGAGGTGGGAATAGTGACTATTCCCACCTCTCGTACTATTCAATAGTCCCGTAACCGGCCAGCATGGTCCTCATTGGAGGAGCCGTATGTTCAGCAGAGGACGTTCTGCGCTTGAAATGATAATTAGATTTTGGCTGACTATCATAAGAATAGAATGACCAAATTTTACGTGCGCTCTTTCATAATATTTTTATTCCAGCGACGGGCGCTACTACGAGATTGTCAAAGCGAACTTCGAGCGTGCCGACCGAACCACTGTAGTGCGGACTTCCACCAACTGCCGCGTGTCCAACTACTATCTCCTCTCTAACTATAAGGAGCTTATATTTAATTAAACTCCGTGGAACAACTTGTTTGACGACGTTTATCTTTTCACCAAGGGTCTAAGAGAACAGACCACTAAGAATAAAAGCTGCAATGATGCCACCTCTGATCTATTGCTTACATTTTAACAACTTACTTTGATTAACCGATTGAGTCCCAGACGGCATTAATTAATGTCATAACAATTGATTATCTATTGTGTCTAGATTCGCGGATCTTGAACGGTGTAGACGTTTAAGCACTATACTTAATTTATTACCTACTTAAATACTATTTTATTTAGATATTATATTTATTATGAACTTACTGCCTTATTTGAAACTAGTCATTTTACCAAACAATTTTATGTAAAACTGCCTGAACCAGTTACTTCGTATGGAAATGTGTAACATGTTTTAAAAATTATAAAATGTTGAGTTTTCGAGGTAACAACATTTTTGATGAAGAAGATATACTAAATAGTTATTAAGAGTTACGGAAAGTTTGTAAAGATGTTTTTCCCCGATCGCCTTGTTTTCCAACTGAAGAGATGAAGATTGTGTATTTTTTGTGAGAATTTCTAAACAATAATAATATGTTACATTTTACGAGACAATAAATGGTTATACATTTTATATTGTAGTTTTCTTTTAAACAAAAAGTGAGTTGATGCCATGGAAACAATTAAAATGAACCAGTTGCTACTAAAATAATAGTTTATTTACAGTTTATTATGAGAAAAGTTACTATTTTTATATTTTCTTTTAAGTTACAATCGAATATTAAAAGCTATTTCTAAATACCTTAACTATTTACAAATAGCTTTGTTTCATCTAAATATATGACAAATTCCAAACATATCGTATATTTGTATTTTGTTTGCTATAATAGAATCACTCGCAATTTTTGTTATTTAAGTTTAATAAACGCAAAACATTTAGTGGGAACAGTCAGCGTCCTTCGCTCGCGGCGCACTCACACAACATAACCACTCGAATCACAGGTATATCTGATTTATATAAGTATACAATCATATAAAAGAACAATAACTTACTATACAAATTAATACCACTCACATCGCCGATTTCTAGACTTGACACAGAATTAAACTAAAAGAAAGTAGTCGTCGTCGTCAAACTCCAAGAGTCATCTGACGCCCTCTCCTAGCAGTAAATCTGGTTCTTCTTCTAGAAGAAGGTTTTGGTTGTTGCTGTTCTCCTCGTTACCCGCCTCGGAATTGTTGTCTTTATTCACGTCGTTGTCTATCTTGTACAGTATGTCGTGGCACAGCGGGCAGCGGTCCTGGACGTACAACCATTTCCGCAGACACACGCCGTGGAAGAAGTGGTTACACCTGGTGATCTTCGCGGAGTGCATCTCTTGGTAACAGATTGCGCATACGTCATCTAATCTGTCCAGTTGGTCTACGGAAGCTTCTCTGAGTGAGTTGATCTTGTTTACAGCGGTGCGACGTTTCATAAACACCGACCAACCCGCTCTTGCCTCACACCAGATGTTGAAATACGCGTGAATGCACATCATCACAGCGCGAATCGCTCCGCCAGATTCGAACAACAGAATCCACGCTCCGTTGAAGAACAAGAATATCCCAAAACAAAACTCTATCGTATTTCCGAACGCGCGGATGTAATACACGTAGTCATCCAGTTGCTCCCAAAACGTGCTTCTGTATGCGTCCACCAGGAATAACGAGTAGATCATGAGACTTACTATCACTTTGACTATGACTTCTATGCTGAAAGCGCTCACGGCTAGCAGCCAGGTCGATATCGTATGTTGAGACCATAAGTACACCAGTAAGGAGATCGGGAAGATTATGAGAAACGCGCACACACCTAGCGCTCTCACGTGCCTGTGTGTACTCGGGTTGTGTGACGCACTGAGCGACATCAGCATAGGGTTTACGATATTGTGTAAGAAGTGCAACAAAGCCGTGAATAATAAACAGAAGTTTCTGCACAGTCGGACGAATCTCTTTTCAGGGTTGAGCGAGGTCAAACCGGTCTGCAAAGCGAGTATGTAGAACAGGATCGCGGAGACCGCGCCTATACTCTTGTCTTCCTCTTCATCTGTCAGTAGGATCCATTGGAAAAAGTTGCCGATGTAGTGACAGAAGAAGGAGATTACTGAAGTCATGCCTAGAACAGCTGTGATGGTTTCACACCCAGTTACTAGGAGCGACTTGGCCATTGACGCGAGGGATTGCACTGCGAGTAGAGTGGACACTTTGAGGCCTTCTTCAGCGTCATCTTCGTAGTTGTCCATAAGGAGCAATATCGCGTGTTCTGCGACTCTCATCACCCAGAATACTCTCAGAACGCAAGGTATGTTCAGTCGCATCCACTCTGTTTCAACTAGCGCTGACAGGCCGTAGTTGCTGACGAAGAGGCGTCCATGTTGGTAGCCGGCATAGATCACTTGTATCACATTGTAGGCGGACGACCAGAGAACATACTTGACAAGGAAGAGCGGGAGTAGAGTCGAGAATACCGGCGAATGGTGCAGCAGTTGCGGGGGTACCGGGAGCATCGCTAGGAAGGAGGGCGCCATGAAGCTCATGGGTAGGAGTTTTTGTATGGTTGCGTGTCGTGGTCCTAAGTGTACGTTTCGGAATATGATGGCTAGGACGAATTGTATAGCGAAGTTTTGTATGACTAGTACGCCGGGTCCTTCAAGATCTATGAGGTTTCTCATGTTGAGGTTGAGGATGTCTTCTAGGATGCTGGTGGTGGGTGCGGCGGCCTCGGCTGCCGTGGCGTTGAGCGCCAGGATCTGCTTGATGGCGGATACATTGGTCCAGTACGAGACGAAGACTAAGCCCACGGACATGAGGTAGAGGTACACTATGATGAGATGCTTCGTGTAGAGCACGAATATGCATAGTGCCGACATGCATCCTGGAAAGAAGAGAAAAGCAACAGTTATTATTTTGTTTCGTAGAAAGAACAAACAAACAAAAACATTAAGGGCTAATTTTTCAATCGTCGGATAACTTTTAACTGAAGAATAAGTTTGGCACTTTGACAGTTTCAGTATGGAAAATAGGGTCAAAATGACAAGTTTATTCTTCAGTTAAAAGATATCTGACGATTGAAAAATCAGCCCTTAGTTATTTAAACTATTGTAAAATAGGCAACATTTTAAGCTGCCCATATTATCGCCGAGTTCAGAATCCTACAAAGTAGTTTTAATTTTTAGGATCATACTTTAATAAATATTTTATTAATATTACGACTTGACGATGTGGAAGTCTGACAAATCGGCGCTTTAACAAAATGTGTTTATTGGGCGCTCGAGCGCTCATTTAATTAAATCCATTTCAAGGTGTTAATTAATTACTTATTACTTTTACATTAATACCGCTTTATAACCAGTAAAAGTGTATTAAACAAGACAATTGTTAAAAACAAATAAATATTTCAATTCTGGAAGTATCAGGAAGCATATTAAGGTTTTAAAACGGATCGGATCAGGTTTGTATTGCCATATGAACCAGTTTTATTTATAATCTCGGAACTGAACATAAACTAGCCGTATTTTACTAGCGAACGTCATCGGAGTAAGTATAATAATAATTAATAACTCGTTTGTTCTAAAACCAATATTTTTGTGGCTTAGATTAGGGATAATCAATTTACGGGCAGCCGAGCTCTACATTTTACAAGAATGTATCAAAATAACAAATAGTTGGTGTCTAGAAAAATCTAAGGCATTCTACACAATTTATTTATTTTATTTATATACAGGGTGTCCCAAAAACAATGGATAACCCTGTAACCATCGATAGGCCTCGCCATGGTCTCCCTAACGTCCAATTTCGACCCCCGTAAAAATATCACCGTTTTCAAGATTTTTTAGTTTTTGTGCATTTTTAGAAAATTGCCACCTGCGATTACTTTTTCTCATGCCATTTCTACAAATGAGGATACTTTTCAATCTAGTTTTTTTCCTTATCAAAAGGGATAGTTGGGCTATCAAAAGAAAAGATTAAAGTTCAACAAACTAGTTTAAAAGTATGAAAATTTTAAGAAATTGCAGAGAAGAAGGAAAAATTAATTCATTGTCTTGCACTTTTGATCAGCCGTCGTGTAAAAAAAATGTAGGAAGACCATCGTGCCCATTACTTTAAAAACTTCCTTGGTTAATTGAGATTCTAAAAAGGTATCACAAGCCTATGTATTCTGTATTATTTTTATCTTATGGCTACTTGAATAGCAACTAGTATGAAAACTGCAAAAATGAGTTTTTCTCGTAATAGTTAAACTAGGACTGCATAGTGGCATTAAATACAAATGGATAATTTTTAGCGTAGGAATTTTAATAAAGCAACATTTTATCATCATCATCATCATCATTTCAGCCCATCCCCGGTGGCAGCTCCAGGTTGTCCTGAAATAGGCACGTTAACAAGGGCAGATTTACCTGGGCACGCAGAGATAGGCGCGCTCGGAGAGGCAAACCTGCTGGTAGACGGTGCCTGATTTGAAGGCGCCGTATCCTCCAACCACTCCGTAAGGTTGCGGCTGCTGTGACGACTGGAGCGAGATCGGCTGAAGCTAGCTTTTATATGAGCGAGTTCCGCTTGCAGCTCAAGCTCACTCGCCACGGCTTCGGCAGCTGCTAACCGCGCTCTTTCTTCTGCGGCACGCACGCGTTCCTCTTCCGCGCGCGCTCGCGCTGCGTCGGCAGCTCTGCGAGCAAACTTAGCTTGCACTGCGAGGGTGCGTGCCCGAACGGTGGCCGATGAACAAGATGACGATCCTGTAACAGATGCCGCGTCTGCGGCCGCCGCGGGGGCGGTCGCGACTGGTGCGGGGTCGGGTGCGGCAGCGTGAGGGGAGCCCCGTATGGGCTGCCTAGCCTCGGCCATACCCGATTTAATATCTTGCGCTTTTCTTTGAGCCCGAGTGAATGGCTGGTAAGCAAAAAAATTAAGGGAAAAAAATTTGCCGGAAGAAGGACCAAAAATGTTAAGAATCGGGATAGAAGAGGGATAAATGATACCCAGGCTCAAGGAAGGGAAAGCGATATAATAGAAGGATAAAAGGAAGATACAGGATCACAGGGATAGAAGAGAGAGACAGATGACAAGTGACATATAGAAAAATATAAACCATAAACGCTATCAAAAGAGGCCGTTCGTAACAGGATGCGTTCTGCGTTCAGGTCAAAATGAACGATCTCCTATATCCACGAGTAACTTCGAGTTAGTTACCTTTGATCATGGGCCACATGGTCTTCTTGTAGTGGATGTAGCCGGTGATGGCCAGGCTGGTCACGTGCTCCGCCACCCGCTGCATGCAATAGTGAACCTGAGGGTAAAAAGCGGTTCAAAATCAACATTAGTGTTTTCTCTAAAATACGGACCTTATGGACATTCAGTCGGCAGGTTGCAGAAGATATTTTACAACACAAATACATCCACCCACAAGTAAGTGTGGATCATACATAAGTTATGATTCTACGGCTCATGTGCAACCATTTTCCTCAAAAGAGGAAGTTTTTTTTAATGCATAACAAGGTAGGTATTTGACCACAATCGCGCCTGGTGTTAAATGAGATGAGGTCTAGGATGGTACATATCTGCCCTGTAAGTTCAAATCATTAAAAATAAACTTTTCATACAACAATCATCACAATACAATTTTATATGATTCATACTTACAGGAAAACCCTGTATATTGTACATAATCTACACTAATAAATATTACAGGAAAGATTTGATTGTTTGTATATTAAATGTCTGTATATCAGAAACTACTGGACCGATTTTAAAATTCTTTGACCATTAGAATCTTACATCATCTCTGATGAACATAGGCTGTACGAAGTTCCCAGGATAGTTCCATCGTTGCAACTCAGGTAGACAGGATCTACCGCCAATAAAAACCCAACCAGTGAAGGTCAAGTCTCCGGGTTAGTTAATAAATAATAAGTGAAGTAATTGTATGTTTACCTTAACGCTAAAGTAGTCTGCGTAGGGGATGCCGGCGTTCTCGCTGGTGGAGTCGATGGAGTACATCACGCCCGGCTTCGAGCACTTGTTCATGACCTGTGTGATCGCAATAGTTGATAAATGTACAGGGTGGCCCAGAAAGAAATTCACTTTTGAAAATTCAAAGAAAAAAAATCTGTGTAATTTTGTAGAACTTTATTCATTACAGTTCAAAGAAAATGGAATGGAATTTGTTTTTAAATTTACCTTTATTAAATTACATCGTCCAGGAGATTTCCTTGACGCTTACAACATTCGATCAACATGCATCAAAATCTAGAAATGCGTTCGTTAGAGTTACCTCGGAACTTATTTTCCATTTTTTGCCGAATGTTCAGCTTCAGTTGATGCATGGTTGTAAGATTATAAAAGTATACTCTATTCTTAAGGTAACACCACAAAAAGGAGTTTTCTGGAGTGAGATCAGGACTTCCTGGTGGCCAAGAGATGTCACCCCTGCCTGAAATTATTTTTTGTGGGAACATGTCTCTTGCCATCCAAATGCTCTCATTTGAAGTGTGACACGTAGTCCCATCTTGATGAAACCAAGTGCTCCTGTAGCCTTGCGAATCTTGACACTTTGAAATCAAGAAGCTTTTCAGCATGCCAGTATAGCGCTCTCAAAAATTAATCATCCTTTCGATGCAACAAACCAATTAAGCAGGTGTGAAATCTCATTGCCATTAAGAAGCCCTTATCTCATTCCAGCAGACTTCTTTTTGTAGGGTTACGTTATGAGCAGTGTATACTCAAATAATTCAAAAACTCTGCAGCATTCATCCATCCTGAATCCATTTCGAGGTAACTCTAACGAAAGTTTTCCAAAATGTTTATACATGTTGACCGAATGTTGTAAATGTCAAGAGAAACATGTACGATCAAATTAAAAAAAGATAGTAAATTTAAAAATAAATTGCATGAAATTTCCTTTAAATTGCAATAATTAAAGTTCTACAAAAATGTACAGTTTTCGTTTCCTGAAATTTTCACAAGTGAATTTCTGGGCCACCCTGTACTTGTAATAGATGTGATTTTGAAACAAAAATATTATAGGCTGATGGCTAACGTATTTGCTTTCTCCAGAGGGCGCTTTTGATTGATGAGATGGGACCAAAAATGGCGATTGAAAATACCAATTTGTCTCTGGTGAATTAGAGACGCTTGTGTCGGGCCTGTTCATCTCCGCGAGTTTGCATCGAAAACAAAACACGCGCGGCGTACTCTCCTGCGATGTTTAATCGACAACAATTCACGCTTAATAATGATGACATGTATTAGTTTGGCATTTCGCATCACACATTAATTTCCCGAAGTCAACCCTATGGCATCGGCACAGTATAGTTCCAAAATACTGAAATGTCCTATGCATGACATTGACAGTAGGGCGCCACCGTCAATACCGGATCGCTAGTTCCGATTTTTGCCATGTTGGAAACCATATAGTTGAACGATGGTAGCGCCCCCCTGTCATTGAGTTTGGCGGGACAGTTCAGCGTGGGTCATCTATACCTATCGTTGACATATGTCAACGAAACGGAGCTCGACTCTTAAGACAAGCTAAATTACACCATATTGTTGATGACATTGAGCATACATTTTTTTGAATACCTTCGCGAAGAAAAACTTCTGTACGTAGTACTTATTATTATTCTGTGCCCGTATTCACAAACGATACTTGCTTAAGTGTAGCAGCAAATCGAACGCACAGCGTTGAATAGAGCTCTGTGATTGGTTCGTGTATGACCCTGTGCGTCCACGCGCACCGTGATACCTCAGTAATGTTTGTTATCTGACCTGTGTCTCTGTGACCTGCACCTCCTTGGGCCCGATGGGGCCGGACGTGAGGCTCAGCGTGTAGCTCAGCTGCCGGCACTTCAACCCCGCCGCCGGCTGCCACGGCGCCTGATAAGACAATGTTACACTGCTTCAGACTATGACAACTTTGTTACCACAATGTTGCTTTAGTTAGACTATACCAACGCCGGAAGCAAATTTATTTATTTATTTATTTATTATTCATTATTGAGCAATTACATATTTGATCCAAATAGCGTCCTAAATCCTCTTTAGGTTTGTCTAGACACTATTGTTCTCTATACAAATAAAAACAAACGTTTTAGTATAAGCATTCACAACACTTTCAGATATACAAAATATTATTTTAGCGAATGCGCACTACGATGACGAAAGACTCGACATTCGATCGCGATAATAGATAGAAATAGATTCGAGATCCTACGATTATAATGTGAAAGTTATGGGTTCAGAATTTAGTGATGGGCGTGCCACGATGCCTGCCAAGAGCAATGTTACGAGCACGAGCTTTTAGATTATAGAAACTTCGATGGCAAACTTAATTGTACCACGGTGTCTGCCAAAAACATATGTTAAATGGTTAATTTCATTAGACGTTCTATAGCCTAAGATGCGCGCCGTGATAACTTTTATCGACGTCAAAATGTATGGGGAAAATCGATAAAATTGCGTGATAACCGCTTATCGCGGCGCGCATCTTAGGCCTTCTGGCCCCGCATTTGTAATGTGGGTGACTTTTGTAAAGCATAGGGAACATCCCGCCGCATTTGGACAACCATTTCATTACTAATTTTGTTCAACCAATGTATGTGAGCCATTACACCGAAGTGTAACAATTACATAGGCTCTTCATGACAAAATGATGGAGGCAGCCAATATTTTTTTACATTAATCAAAGCTTCAACCGTCATTTACCAGTGATCTTCAATTAACGTATTCACGTATTTTGACAGTCAAGATCTCGCTTACGTTCAGAAGTCGTCCCATTGAAAAACAGTTCTAAATGAATATTCACAGGGGTCATTTCGATAGAACGATAACTCGATAGGATCGCAACTCAGCGATTTGTTGTCGTTGAAGTTTTGTTACGTGTATAAGGTCTAGTCTGTTTGTTATAGTCCGGTCTACCTTTGTTTTGTTCTTCCGTTGCGCAGTTGCACACCTAACACGGACGACTCTGCCACGTACCTGCACGTAATCAGTGGTTCCTCTGGCGGCCAGCAGCTCGAGGTTGAACTTGGAGTTGGTGAAGATCATGGTGAACAGCTGGTCTACGTTGAACGGGAACTGCGCCCGTAGCAACGCGCGGCCCTCGTGCGACGCCGAGCACTTCTCTACGGAGCCGCCGCTGGAATCGTTTGCACTGGTTATTGATATGGTTGATAGTCGATGAAGCATCTGATTTCGTGCAATGAGTGCCCGAGCAACTGCACTCAGGATTTGACTAATGCCGCTGACAACGCGACTCTTGTGGCGGAGTTTTGGGCTGACACTGTGTAGGTTTGTTGTCGACACGAAAAGAAAAAGAATTGATATGGTTGGGCTATGATGGGCGCCATCTTATCGATGATTTTAGACAACAAATGTACACCGATGAAATGTATATCGATGATTTTAGACAATAAATGTAAGGGCATATCGTAAAAAATCTATAAAATGCCCCTATATTTTGTTTATCGTGGCGGGCATCTCAGGCCTACGAAGTGAGTTTCTTGCGCTGCTTCTTCTCAGAAATAGTCCAGTGCTGCAGCTTATTGACCTGAAGTAGTTGTAGGGTTAAAGTGAAACTGGGACATGTAAAAACTCTTCTTAAAAGCCTATTTGCAGAAAATAAATACTTTTATGACTTAACCGATATTAAAAAACTATATTTTGCGCACGGCTTCACCCGCATGAAATTGAGTCTGTCAAAATTTCATCTAGGTAAATCAATTGAGTGATCTAAGCAAGCCAAAAAAATTAACTTTGTCATTATAACGCGAAACAGGACATACAACATCATGCCAGACTATGGCGTGTCGTTAGGACAAACCATTGAGAAAAATTGTTAAAAATGTCAAGTTTAGGAGTTTAGGTGATTTGACATAATATTAAGATCAATACGCAGTTGCCTTTATTCCAACGTGCCCAACTTGTTTAATTTTAAATTTTAAAGTAAAAGTGCTTTTTAAAAGCCTATTTGAAAAATAAATGAGTTTTAGGAGTTTTTTTATTTAGCGGCTTCAGACCCAGGCACACGGTGATAGATGGGGATAATACAGGAAAAATAAATTGACATCAAAGCCTAGGAGACAGAACGGGAATAAATCAGGCAAGGTTATTTTTTTTTTATTTTTCAAGGAAACAAACAGCATGAATTGATACATGTGAACTTAAAAAAATAACTTAACAAAAAGTTGACTTACTTGTGAGGCTTCTCCGGCTCGCTGTCACTGGTGTCTGACATGTCTGTCGGCAGTGTGTCGCCGCCCTCGTCCTCTTTATACCCGTCGCCGTTCGTCACTGCAACAAACGACATAACATTATAAATTGTTTCATCCACGAAGATGCGCCCCACCATTCTTCCGCTAATGTTTGAGTGTTATCGGTACACGCTAAATTATCTATGAGTGCACACGCACACTACAATAATGACGCTCGGATTGCTCGGATCAAACTCCCCGCACCCCGCGCTTCCCTCGACCAAAAAGGACAATGTTCGTTCTCCATACATTGTTCGCCTAAGAACCAACAATTTTGACATATTACTACCCGAAAGCGAAATAATACGATTCTGTGTGTAAGAACAATGATTCCTGATGGACACTTGCCATAAAATTAATGATTAAGAATATTAAATCACAGCGATTTTATAATATGTCGTTTATGACAACATGGCGTCTAATGTATTAAGTGAATGTATGAACACCGATTCGCGAAAAATGTTTTGTATTGTCGTCACGCCGAGTCGCAGCCAAATAGTATAAAATAATAGAACAAGTTTTAGAAATACAACTCGGCATTCCACTTTTATAATATGCCCACATATTGCACGTAAATAAACAACATGAATCGTAGGTTGTTTCCACCCTTGTCATCTGACACATGAAATAAACTCCTATTGTATTATAGATATCGAAGCCGAATCGTATATAATAATAGAATGGGTTTTGGAGATCACTCGGGGTTCCACTTTTATAAAATACCTACATATTNTGAGCCACTAGAGCAGTGGTAAACCCTAGTAAATTAGCTCTCTTGATCATAGATACTTTGATATTTGGATAGCGGGTTTGGCTGACATCAGGTTCTCGTGTATTTCCTAAAGGCGAGCGTACCAGTGTGCCGATAAAAGTACCCTTTACATGTATTTTTGATCTCTTTTGAGGCACATAGTTAATGTTGGATTAGCTGACTTTCGGTGGAATATTATATTCAGTTCTGTTTTATTTATATTTATGGTCTTTCCATGTCATCATACGGTCCAGGATTTTAATGCAGGTTGACTGCAGCAATGTGTCGAGGTCTAGATTGGCCGGAGGATAAGTTTCACATCTTAAATTATAATATGGTGAGACTTCGGGGCTTGATTACATGCGCCACTTGGTCAGCCAAGCAGCTGAGTTTGCAACAGTCTAGTCACTTTAAGATCACAGTTACATTTTAGGAAGGCCGCAGCTTTCTGGTGTCTGGGCTACTTTACTAGTAGATGTTATAGAGTAACGGACAAAGTACAGAGTCCTGGAGTACTCCCGCTCTGCAGCTAAAAAGATAATATTTTGTCACCGAGTTTGATTTAAAACTGTCTGTCACTGAGATAAGAATCCATCGGGAGGTAGTAGAAGTGTGCTAGAAGGTACTTTTTAATTTCATAGAATAGTGCTATATGATAAACCCAGCTGAAGCCGCAGCGAAAGCAGACGTACAGGATTCTTTCTTTACCAAACATTGTACTGATTATGATTGGTATGGTTTCTGCCAAAGTTTATGTTCGGGTTTACTATATTACATGGGTCATACTTAGGCAAGGGAATAAACGAGCAAGAATGATCCTTTTCCATAATTTTAACAATTAATTGAGCGATAAGAGAATTCGTTAGGCGACTTGCCAGCCTTATGGATCATTTCCAAAGTTAAGAGACTTGCGAGGTTCTCACTCAGTGTGGTCATTGTCAGGACCATGGACTTCATGGTGATCAGATCAAACGCAAGTGCTTAACGAGGGTCCATTTTGGCTATTTCTTTAGCTAAGCCATCTCTCTTAGCGTTAGTTCTTTCGTTTCAGCCGAAAGACGTCCTGCGCCGCTCGCATCCAGGCACTTTCTGCGACCTTCCCCAAATCGTCGGTCCATCTAGTGGAGGCCTGCCCACGCTACGTCTTCCGGCTCGTAGTCGCCACTCAAGAACTTTACTGCCCGAGCGGCCATCAGCTCTACAAACTCGTAGCACATAACTATGTGCCCCGCCCACTGCCACTTGATTTTAGCTATTCTGTGGGCTATGTCAGTCACTTTGTCCTCCTGCGTCTTTTGCCCTCAATTAGCGTAGTAGGAATCAATCTTCTACTTTGAACTTGAGGAGGGTAAGCGGAAACATGACGGTCAACTCCTCAGATTACAAAAGTACAAAAATGTCCAGAAGCAGCATACGAAAAGATGCAAAATAGGCTCTCTCAAATCACAATGGGAAGGTTTGGCAGCACAGCACCTAGAATGGCGGGAGATTGTGTTGTGTAGAGGCGAGTCCGCGAATTTAAGGAGCAGCGCACAACTGAACTCGACGCAAAACGCGATGATGTAAATCCCGTCCATCTGCCGCCATTCACTATAATTATGTTGGCGGCGGGTACTCTCAATGTGCGAGGAGTTTGCCGCGAAGATGGGCTATGTAAGCCATCTTCAGGCGCACCAGCGCCGCTAAGATAGCTAAGTCACCATGACCGAAATCGGTCGCTGCAAGTCTCGGATCAAGTCCAATGCTTGATCTTATTTTTTTGATTGAATTAAGGATTTTTTGGATTATCCGTGTCAATGAGTTTATTGCCTTCCAGAGGTTGTGGTTCCCATTTGCATTCTGAGACATATTTGCCAATCTCTGTGTGAGTGATTCGCTTAAAGTATAGTCCAATACTGTGGGTTGTCTGCCAGATGAAGGCGGGTATTTTTTTCTTGACAGCAAGAGGGACCGGCGCCTCTCGCGATCAATTATTTACTAGACCAAGCAGCAACTGGAATAATGTACTTGATTAACTGTTATTACTGCGAAAAAATTATGCCAACCACATAATTTACATTAACACAGAGAGTCAGGCCGCGCTGATGGCCTTAAACTGCAACTTAATCACCTCAAAGTTGGTAGAAAACTGCATGAGTCGACTGAATACCCTAGGAGAACGTAACAGAGTAACGCTGAGATGGGTTCCAGGCCCAGGCCACGTGGGAATCGTGGGCAATGAAAATGCCGACGAACTGGCCAGAGCGGGAGCGGAGGGAACACAATATGGTCCAGAACCCTTTTGTGGCATTCCCAAAAGTCTCGCTCGATTGACCCTGGAGAACATCTATTTAAACAAATCCTTTAAGGCATGGTGAGACACGCCAGGATTAACTCATTACAAAGCTCTATAAAAGCCTATGACCCAAAATGCTCTAAGCAGAGGACTGAGTAGGATCAAAATGCGCATCTTAGTTCGAGCCCTCACTGGACACTGCAGCTTAAACAAGCACTTGTCCACTATGGGACTGTCCGAATCAAGAACGTGCAGGATGTGCCAAGAGGCAGATGAAACGCCACTACACATTCTCACGGACTGCGGACCTTTGATGCGCAAGCGGAGCTTACACCTGGGCAAACACATCCTAAGCCCACAAGATGGAAAACATATCGCCCCCCAAAACGTACTGCAATTCCTAATAGCGCCGATCACAATAGATCGGTACCGGTCGCAGNTATACATGGACTCCCAGCAATAAAGTACGGTAATGCCTCGTACAGATTTTATCGGCAAAAATTATGGACTTTATAGGTTTTAGACCATGCCACGCACCAAAACGTCCGGAAGTTGTAATAGTATTATGGAATAAACGTTAAAAGACTTATTTAAGTAATTTTTCAATGCTTAAGTGTCCATTAGAACGAAAGGGTGCTTAATGTATTAAAAAAAATAGAAAATAATTATGATGGGTTAATGTTTTTTGGCGGTTTTTTAGGCGGTTTCTGACAATGTCCTTTGTGGGGGTCGTCTTCGTGGATGAAACGATCTACACAAGACGTGTTCCCCAGTCGATTAAACACATGATGTCGTGTCCCGCGTGCCCAAAAAACTGCACGCAGGAAGTTTCAATGAATGCTACTGATAACGACTCTCTTGTAGCAGTTTTGCGCTGACACTGTGAGATTTAAATTGTTGTCGACACGACAAAAAGAAGATTATACAAGATTCTTTAATAATACGAACAGCTAGGGACCAGAATTCGCCGCTTGCTGCTGTATTTCCAAAAATTACAATCCGGGGCCCGGGCCTCTTCAAGGCGAGGGTGAATACGTATTATGTACCTACCATCCTAAAATGCATCTCACCTAACATGAGGTGTGATTGCGGTCAAATACTTGCCTGGTTCTGCATAAAAAACATTGAAGAAAACTACCTCATCATGAATCAAAATTAATTCAGCTGTCGATAAATCAAAATATCAAACGCTACCTACCACGTTTTCACCACAGGTCATTTGGTCTACATTGCAGGAGCGCGACCCTCTAATTTATCAGAGCAAATTGAGGATTTGGCCGATACTTTCCATTCCAGCTGTTGGGTTAGGAAGACCTGGATGTTTAGTTGCCTCTTTTGAGTTACGAGAAGATTGGGAGTGACTATTCTGCTCTGCCGAAACCACATGTCGACATCATAATAATAAACCTATTATACAAAGAGAACTTAACGTACGTTCAATAGCAGGGGTGGCTATCTCGTAGCCTTCGACGACATCTTCCGTCCACAAGGAAGGTCGCCTGGTAACACTCACGAAGCCCTCTTCCTCTGCCTCATGCAGGTCAGACATCATGTAGTAAGTGGCGGCGCGGTGGACTAAAGCGCTCGTCATGTCCAAAGCGAACCTTAACCACATTATCAGCAGCTTATTTTAAGGTCTGTCTGCTTTTGGGCCGAAATTAAAATCGGGCACAGTTTACTGAACACAACATTTTGGGTAATAAAAGTTATTTGCATTAGAAACTTGTTACAAGTTACAATTTACTCTAACTGCAAGTTATTTGGAATAGATTAATCTAATGTCTTCCAGATAAGAATTCACAAAAATTTAATTACTGTCCCTCTATAGTACATATACAGGGTGACAGGAACTGAACCCGCCATAGCTAATACGCGTATAGAGGTCATTTGCTAATTATTGAACCCTACTTTCTATGACTAAAGTTTTATAGTTTAGGAGATATGTCAATTTTTATACTTTTTTTAGATTTTTCCGAAGATCATTGGCAATCCATTATCACCATTAGCTTTTTTTAAATCGAATTCGAACTTTAATTTTTTATCGTGGTTTGTACTTTTGTTGAACTTTGGCGGCTCGTGGCTAGTTATTCAATCATTATCTGGATCTGAAATTTATTTTATTTAACTACTAACTTTAAATTAGTATCAAATAAAAAAAACGGTTAAAATCATGCGAGAAAAAAATTTAAGCAGTTTTTAGGTAAAATGTCGGAAAAATCTGAAAAAAGTTTAAAAATTGACATATCTCCTAAACTATAGAAAGTAAGGTTCAATAGTTAGCAAATGACCTCCTGTATACGCGTATTAGCTATGGCGGGTTCAGTTCCAGTCACCCTGTAGAAATAAAGCAAACTTCAATGAAAATAACAGAGCTATTTTAAGTTATCTTCGGAACCAGCACAAGTTATACTATTTGTTTCCTTCACAAGGTTCGTTTGTTTATAATTTGCACAGTGCCGATATTGACAGCGAATATATCAACGCGGTCGCGCTGAACAATGGTCAAGCGTATACTGGTTCAAGTCGGACGGTCATGCCAGCTTATATTGCACATCGTGGATATTTTTACGATATTTTAAAACTAAGGGCCCGCACCGTTTAACGCTTAAGGTACGTATTCACCACAGTATTGTGCGTAAAACATTTTTTTGAACTGAAAAGACGAAACTTCCGTACGCAAAAATGAAATTCACTAGGTATTGAAATTAGAAATTTGATACAGATAATTTTTAACCGACTTCAAAAAAGGAGGAGGTTATATGTTCGACTGTATGTATGTTTTTTTTTTTTCTATGTATGTTCACCGATTACTCCGTCAATTGTGGACCGATTTTCAAAATTCTTTTTTTGTTCGATAGGGTATACTTCTGAGGTGGTCCCATTGTCACCAAGTCAGGATCTGATGATGGGATCCTAGGGAAATCGACTGCAACCCTCAAATTTTATAGGCACGTATATCGTTTTTCAAACATTTTCTTAAGTTATTCAAGCATTTGCTCATGGAAATCATCACCTCAAATTCATGAGCTGATGATAGAAAGTAAAACTCCTTAATGCTTAGGAGTTGGAGGATAATTCTTTTAATGCACCGACTCCAAAAGTATCAATCATGGTATACATAAATATTAATTCGTCCTAATAAATAAGTAATTAGTGATTATTTTTCTACTTTTTAGTGTATGTTTTTTGGAGTCGGTTTTATTTTTTTTATAATTATTTACTGAGCTTTAATTTCGAACTAGGTCTTAAACACCATCACCACTAATTGCATTACGATTATTTACTGACTACAAGGCATAAAAGTACTTTTAATGCTTTACTTATTAATCCAAAATTTTGATACCGAAGTTAATAATTCTATCATTATAGAGGGTAAGGGTCGATAAATGCCAATATGATAAATTTTCGCTTTTCTTTTCGCTTCGCATGATCGCTGTCGTAACTTCACATTTGCACACTATGGTGGGAACGTACCTTTACAGTCAAAAGAAAGTGCCTCAACAAAGTAAAAATAGGCAGCCTTTTTATGTGTTTTTTCATTTCATTCGAACACCACAACATCTGGGGTACTGTTATAGAAATCCCCCTTTACTTTTATTCGGCGCGGTAATTCCTTCGTGTTCAATCTTAGAAACAACTTTGTTTGCCCAGCCAACAGCCCATCGGGCTGATCGGGCTACACATTTCTGTTGCAAAATAACACCTATTGCAATAAAATGCCACAGTGTTCGGTAGCTGTGCCGTTATCTGTACAAAAATAGAACTTTACAGTCGTTTAATAATAATGGCGGCATAAACAAACGCATAAGATTATATTATTGTGCGCTAATAAGTTTTAGAAGTCCTAATTTGTGCGATTAATTGAAATGCATTATTGACGCTGCTGGAGGATTTAATCTCCTTTGCAGGAGTCAGGTAATGATAAGAGTGAGGATTGATGAATGACATTCCCCTTTTCCTTGAGTTTCAGTATGACACTTTACCGAAACCTGACACGGACTTCTTGAGAGAACTTGAAAAGTTATATTGCACTGCTTTTTCAGTTGCCTACAGTCATGCATGGTTAATAATCCACCATTATTACATATTAAATTAATACATGACGATTCAGTTTCCCCCAAAGAAGTCCACCGAGTTCGTACAGTCTGTAAAAAGAAGGGGGCTTTTAAAGCTTCTAGAAGAATGCTAGTGGCCGTTGTGGTCTTATGCTTTGCCGAAACTACCGTTTCTAACGTCTGTAATGGCGCAGTTACACTATGCGCGAAATTGAGCGAACAAGCGCGAACACACTCACGTAAGTATGGGCGACGTACGGCGTAACGAACTGAACTGCGTGTTTACACTGATTCCATCAATTTCGCGCATAGTTTTAAGCTCAGTTTTTACCATAGCAGAGCGGATATTTATTTACATAAACATGTGTGAAAACATATTACAAAGCAACATGATTTGGTCTTACAGTTTTAACAGGTGATAGGTACAACATGTTTTACCAAGATATTGGCATGTAAATGATATGTCAAGTAAGAATGTCAATAATACATTAAAATTCATAATAACAATAGGTACATCTGATAATTGATTATTAAAAAGTAAAATTAAAATTAGTCAAATTTTGTCACTCAAGAAGTCTTGTACAGTATAATAGGCCTTGTCAATTAGAAAATGTTTAAGTTTCTTTTTAAACATAACATTATGTAATTGTTTCAAGTTTTCTGGGATTTTGCGGAGCAAAGAAGTGTGTTTAGTAACCAATCAAATTTCATTATTTCTACATCTAGTCTCCGCTCCGCACAGCCCTCAAATTCTATAGACAAATGGCAATGCCAGATTTTGTATGGAAGGTGGCGTCTTTTTTTTCGCGCGGCCATCGACCAAACTTTGTTTTTTGATTACAAAATAGTGTAATAAACCAAACTTACTATGACATGTATACCTCTAAACTCAGTCTGAACTGAGTTACGAGCGTTAGAAGTTTGATGATTTACATACTAGATTCTTTTTGCGCGCAAGTTTTGTAAGAAATTGCAACAAAATAGTGACATTGTATGTGTAAATGATTTGGTCGATGGCCGCGCGAAAAAAAAAGACGCCAATTTCCGGCATTGTCTTTTGACGGCTCGACTGCGCTCTACTTTGGTGGAACCGGATCCTGCGCAAAGATGATGTGGTGGTGCATACCTAGTGGTGGTGAGGAGTCCCGGTGCGGGTGGCGGCCGCCGCGTTGTCGTGGCGAGTCACGCGCGTCCGCCGCGCTGCTGGCGTCCATTGACGAGTCCACCAGGTCCTGCGCAAAGTGCTTCTTTAATACCTCAGCCACAGATCACAGAAACTAAAGCGAGATGTGACAAGGGGGCGGAGCCGGTGTCGCAACAATATGCCCAAAAACAGAACACATTGCTCGTGAAAGCAACGATGACAGCAGCCACGTCATAATGTATACCAGTTTACATTGCTTGCGTAGTGAGTACTGATATTGCAGTGGATAATGAGCACATATTTTGAATTATTTGTGTGTGAATTTCTAATGCGACACTGAGTTTCGAACTCAGCGCATTAGTTGGCATCTCTCTATATCTCTATGACCTCAGCCATACTACCCGCGCATTTAGCGAAGTAGATGTATTGACACGCACTTATTCCCGGTTTCCACCAAGCCGGAGCGGAAAAGTGTTTTGAATAACCAATCAGATTTCAATAATTCGACTTCTCTTCTCCGAACCGCGCCGCGCCACCTCACCACGGCTGTCAAAATTCTATTGAAAAATTTGACAGTCCAACACGCTCTTCTTGGAAACCGAACCTCAGTTTTAAATAACCTAGCCTCGTTTCGCGCGACTTCCTAAAGTTGTCGGTATTGTGCCCGAGTCAAAGGGCTCGAAGTGCATGTGGTAAACAAATTATTTATATTCCGAGCTACGACATATTATGCTTGTGTTAGGTCCGGTGCTTGACGGAATGGAACTGAAAACCTTTCGAATCGAAAGTCCAATACTCAAACCGTCGAAGCCTGTGTATCGTTGGGCCATATTGACAATGTGATCCAAGTTTAAACAGGTAATATACTACTACTACTGAACCTATCTGTGGACAATGGTGCTGGTTACATTGTTACACTTTAAAAGACGTGTACTAAATCTTAATATGATTTTTTATCTTTATTCTTTTAGACCTGAATTTCGCACTAACGAATCTAATTAGTAGCTATTACGGCAGCTGACGAAGGTGTACTAAGCGTAACCTATGTCTTGGAAAGAAAAAAATCTCACAATGTAAACTTCACCTTGAAATCTCTTTTCTGCCGCTGAGTTGATATCACAATCACCAGAATACGCGGTTGTAAATTACAATTATCTGTATTTGATTTAATGTAACTGGTATTAATTATTCACTAATTTTCACATTAGTTAAATAATACATTTCCACACATTAATTACTTTGCCAAGCATAAAATAAACAAAGTTAACTTAATTATCGAATGTTCGCTTTATGTTCAAATTTTATTTGCATTAAAGTTTGAATAAATAATCTTAAGATGAAACTATAACGAGGAACCAATATAAAATTACCATATCCTTTCCCAGAGGTCTCAAGTACTTCAACATTTATAACAATGGGACATTATATTAGGCACAGTCCTCGGAACAGTTAAATAACCTCGTGATAAAAAGACACATTAGCGAAACTGTTGACGCGCAGGACCCGCTAAATACTGACTTCTTGATAACAATTAACTAAAAGATAACAGCGATAACTTCGTGTTATTATGTTGTGATTTAGTACTGTAAATAGACGAACGTAATTTTAAACTTCCGTTTAACTTGAAATGTTTATTCGGCATTTTTAGATTCGTGATCTATCACGGAATTGGTCGAGTTAAACAATTAAGAGCTTTGTTCATAAGCTTCATTTTTAAAGCACGTACAAAGTGCTAAATGCGAGTCTGTTACATATTTAAATAAACCGCTGAATAAAGGTAATATGGCTCTTTTGGTCGCCAAAAAAGTCGATAGAGTTAATATAGGGAAAGTGAATTTATATTGAATATGAAAATCACAATTATGTTTTTCTGAGACAAACAGAAAACCATGTAGGCGAAGCTGCGAGCAGAAGTTATTTGACCCATAGGAGTCGAGGAAATTGACAAATGTCAAATTACTAAATCGAATCAATATCCGTGTAGTTGCAAGTATTTCGGATTATGTGGCCTCGTCAAGTGTACTTTATCTTTATTCACTAAAAATTATCTAAATGCAAAGATAACGCTTCTGGCAACAGACATCTACAATACAATGATATAGGTATGCAAGGATCTCATTGATTAATAAACATCATGCAAGTTTGAGAAAGACAATATTTTTTATATCAATAAAAATTCAGGATGTTTGATTGCATCCAGCTGAATTTTCAACTTCGATTCAACTGAAGCGTAGTACGCCGTGTAGTAAAATAGCGCGGTACTGAATTAGGTTTGTTGTATTTGATGATTCAAACACTGAAATCTTTACTCTATCACAAACCTAAAAGACTTCAAAGGTTCCACTGTCACTCTTGAAGAAACTTAACAGGGGTCATAACTATTTCTCCTATACCTTTTTGGCTAGGAAGAAGCTTTGCAACGAACAGTCACCGCTGTTGGTCTATATTCTAGATCTAGATCTAAATTGAACCGATTTAGAAACCAATATATCTAAAAGGCTTTGGGGGAGGCTTATGAACAGCAGTGAACGTCATGTGGCTCAAATGATGATGACAATTTAATCCAAATGCACTTCCACATGTGTTTGATGACACAGCACATTTCACACGAGCATGACAATAACATGACACTTTCGCTTATTTGTTGCCACATATCTGGCAACACTCAATAATAGCATAGCTGGGTTGCCAGACCAACACTCACTTTTCTCCTGGTGGAGAGCGCGCGAGGGAGTCTCACCATGTTGCTGGCACACTGTCTACTGCCGCTATCGACGAGTTATCAGCGTGGCCAGATACGATCGCTTCTAGTGCTGTGGCATGATACATTTGTATTTAACACCTGCACATTTAAGGAATTCCTTAACTGTGTGACTTCAAAGTCAATTTTTTAAAATTTATTTTTATGGGACAGGAGGCAAAGGAGCACACGGATCACCTGATGGTAAGTGATTACCGTCGCCCATAGGCATCCGTAGTCTCGGGGTCGTTACAGGTATTTTACAAAATTATAGTGTTTGAACACACACTTAGGCTTGTGATCACTCCCTCGTTTTTAGTTTTCTTTTTCTATCTTGTAACGACTGAGATATCACAACGACTGACGACAACCTGGTTTTACAATAGGTGTCTGACATGGCTAAATAGAATAAATGCAATGGCCTAATGTTTCCTTCGATGTAAAGGATTATTTTTATCATCATCTCTATAATTTCAGACACAGGAGGTCCACCGGTTGGTAGCGGCCGGCATCCAGCGCTTCCGTGCTACATTTATGAGGTTGTCGGTCCTATTTCTGGATGGACATCCCACGATTCGTTTTCCGATACGTGGTCTCCACTCCAGAACCTTGCTGCCCCATCGGCCGTCTTAATTTTAGTTTTAATCGATCTAAACGCTAGTCAACTAGTCAATTAAAATAATACTTTTGATATTTGCGTTACTGTTTTTATAAGACAGAAATAATAACCCATTTTAGCTGTCCCTATTCGCTTTACAACTGGAGTATAAACGGTGGACGCGTGTTCTCGAGTCGATTCTGTTTATCCATTTCATCGATGCTTTATCGGTATTTTGAGGACATCACTAATCACTATCGATAAACAGGTGTTGATATGATATTGTTAATACCCATAGCGAAGATTAATGTAACAAGTAATACATTATATGCGGAAATTGGCTGCTATTTTTTTATTTGTGTTTAATTAGATAGAAATGTAATTTTGATTTGTCACACATCAGTCGTGAGAAATAGCTGCTGTGTAATTAAATCAATTACCCTTCAAATGGCTTCAAATGGAAAAAATTACATACTTGTCAAAATTAAGGATCATTGCTATGATTAATTTATAAAAGTTTCTCTACATTCCAAGCGTGTTTGATATTTCTTTCATTGCTCTTTCAAAATTTTAGCTAGATTATAAACGATGATTCAGTCGCAATCATTGAACGATAAGATAGGGTATAGTATTGATAACAATAATACTACTGCTTGTTACATATTAAGTTTCTACGTAAAGTTCACCTATTTACTGATATCAATAATCAAAACAGACATTAGTTAACCCTTCTTCGACTTGGAGTCTACAGCAAAATATTTTGAGAACTGCGGTTTTTGAACATACACCTTTGAGTATTTGACATATTAAATTTGTCTCAAGGCGTTGGTAGTAGGGCCCAAAAGATGAGACATGTTAAGAGCCCCTACTTTTGTATTTGGACGTTCATATGTGCCAAATTTTGATCGAGATGGACTAAATATTTCGTCTCGTCTCGATATAAAAATGTACAATGTATCCAAGTTCTAAAGACTTGTAGAATAGGTCCCTAAAATAGACCCATATTATATGGGCCATATACTAAGACTAGGCCCGTATACAGCATGTAAAAGCCGTGTTTAATTCGAAATTGAAAATGTATTCTGGTGCCGAAATACAACATTATACGAGACTAAAATTGATAGGAAAAGCTATTCAGTTAAATTAGTATACAGGGTGTTAGGTAAATGGGTATATGAGCCGAAACTAGACCATGTTAACATGGGCATATAAATGGTATGGTGAAGTCAGAAATGGCAAATCCAGATTTTGTATGGAAAGTGGCGTCTTTTTTTTTTCGCGCGGCCATCGACCAAACTTTGTTTTTTGATTACAAAATAGTGTAATAAACCAAACTTACTATGGCATGTATACCTCTAAACGCAGTCTGAACTGAGTTACGAGCATTAGAAGTTTGATGATTTTCATACTAGATTTGCTTTTTGCGCGCAAGTTTTGTAAGAAATTGCAACAAAATATTGCACTATTTTTTTGTTGCGCTGATTCTGCTCCATACTGATGTCTGGAGCCTTTAATGGATGGTACTGTTTGTTTATACATACAATCTCACTATTTTGTTGCAATTTCTTACAAAACTTTGCGCGCAAAAAGCAAATCTAGTATGAAAATCATTAAACTTCTAATGCTCGTAACTCAGTTCAGACTGAGTTTAGAGGTATACATGCCGTAGTAAGTTTGGTTTATTATACTATTTTGTAATCAAAAAACAAAGTTTGGTCGATGGCCGCGCGAAAAAAAAAAGACGCCAATTTCCGGCATTGTCTTTTGATATCATCATTTTATTTTTTTAAATTTTCATACAAAAAAAAATATAAATCCGATTTGTATAAAAAATAAAATAATTAAAATGAAGATATCAATTTTCTGACTTCACCATACCATTTATATAACCATGTTAACATGGGCTAGTGTCGGCTCATATATCCATTTACCAAACACCCTGTATAGACAAGTGTTTTTTCTTGGTTTAAGATGTGGTTCTTTCGGCATATTGCACTCTACCGTGCCACACTTCTTCACTTCCTCCAACTTGTTTAATCTTCGTCTTTTGTCCCTATATTACATAGGGCTGAGTGTGAGTTTACATCAAACGTCGTCACTAGTGAGCGCGTAAAAATGACATTAAATTGTCACAGATTGTAACAGATTGTACAGCGCCCCTAGCGGAAATTTTAAAAACTAAAATTTTCATACATTTTTTTAACGCGCTTACTAGTGAGCACGTTTGATGTAAACTCACAGGCCTCAGTTCGCATTGAGCAGTGTTTTTTACATGGCGTATTATTGGACACGTACCTCGGAGATGTTGTCGGGCGGCAGCGCCGGCGGCTCCTCGGGGAAGTCGCGGCCGTAGCCCTCGTCGTCCGAGTTGAAGCCCAGCTCCTCGCCGTAGCAGCTGTGCACCTGCCGACAGGCCGCAGTCATAACCCCACTCGCAGCGTCAAATACGGCTACTTAAATAAACTCCGACATACGTTACTTCGACATTACGTTCTTCTTCTTGTCGTGTCGACAACAAACCTACACAGCGTCGGCCCAAAACTCTGCCACAAGAATGGCGTTGTCAGTAGCCTTCATTAAATCTTCCTGCGTGCAGTTGTTTGGGCACGCATCCAAGATTCCCCGAAGAAGACATTACGTTACTCTGACACTACTGAATATCGACATGACTTAACTTCGACACTACACTACTCAGACAAAGGCGTAATATCCTTGTAGTCTTGTAATATCGGAGTAACATAAGGTCGAAGTAACGCTTGTCGGAGTTTATTTAGGTAGCCGTCAAATACACAAGAGCAAAGTATGGAATCACCCTATTTGTTCCGAACAATCGTAAGAACTAAATGACATAGAAGATAAATAAAAAACGAAAAGTCACTGATTGACTGACTCACTCATCACGAAATCTCAAGAACTACAAATGCTAGGAGCCTCAAATTTTGCATGGGTGTTCCTTTTAGAACGTAGGTGCTCACTAAGAACGGATTTTACGAAACTCCACCCCTAAGGGGGTAAAACGAAATCCACGCGTACTAAGTCGCGGGCGGCCGCTAGTAGAAGATAAATAAAAATGGCAGTTAATATCGCACAGAACAAAACAACGGGGTGATTCCATCATTCCACACTTTTGCTCGTAAGTATAGTTCGTGACACCTATAGTGACCAAAAAATTGACAACACAACCCAATTGTAACAAAGACGTTGCGAACTTTTTGGCTACTTTGGGTGTCACAAACTATTTGATGCTGACTGTACAGACAACAGCACGTCAGTCAGACTAGATAGTTTTGATTACAAATCCACTCCTGCCTGTTACAACTATACGAGTACAGTGAGTTAATCCTCTACTTTTCCTAAGGGACCTAAGTTCTTTAAAAACCTTTCCATAAACATCCTGTATAAGTTGTCACAGCTGCAAGTTTGATGTGTTGCCGCCTGAATACTGCAGTTAAGTGCAGTTAAGTAAGTGTACAGCGTTAAAAGGTTGTCTAGAAACAGTGACAAGTTGTAGAATCTCCGGATGAGTTTTAATAATGACTTTGATTTTCAAAAAGACTATTAACTCAACTACGAATATATTCATAGATTAAATCAACGTGGGGTATTGGAGATACTGAGCAAGCCAGTTAGCACGTGTTGAGAGATCAATTAGCATCGCGCGCGGTTCATTAAGTTTCAGCATTACTACTTGTATTAAACGCAGATAAAACGATAAAAAAGATGATTAAATATTAAGGCTGTTGTTTAAAGTTCTTGCTAAAAACAGAGCCCATTTAACATAGTGGCTTTATGGTCTTTAAATCTACGCGGCTGAAACTACATACTTTACTGTAAATGTATTGAATCCATAAACGAAACTCACCCCGATAACTTCAATAAGATATAACCTACGTAACGCACGAACTCAAAAGTCTTTTTTTCAACCGACTTCAAAAAAGGAGGAGGTTCTCAATTCGACCCGTATGTTTTTTTTTTCAGACAAAATCACAAAAACAAGTTAAAAATAAAATTCGGCAGTTTAGACGCGCGCGCGCCGATCGGGCCTCGCGGACTAATGGCCGCGCGACGCAGCACGATTGAGCATACGTCAAGGATAACAGTAACGTGGCTCTTTGAGGATAATATACGGGATTAGGTATATTTTTTTACTAAAAAAAAGTATAAACAGAAATAGGCTTGATTGTGAATTATGGGTCCACTTATTAATTCAGGTGCGAAAATTAATGTAAATATGCCTTAAAGAAACCATTGAAGGAGCATTATCTTAACACACTTTAGTTAGAATTGATTTGCTATTTTTTTCCTTGTCTTTTTTTCATATTTATTCACATAAACTTTGTCTTAAAACGAATTACCTCTATTTTTTGTAATTTACATGTATTTTTAATTTACTTTATATTAAAAAGCTGTTAAAAGTCTAAAAACATGATTTATATTTAGATTTAACTATGGATGTTTATGTGTTATCTAGCACAAGTTCTGTTTATTCCAAACTAGGTAATTGGTGTGATTGTTTTTACTATTTACACGGTTATTATTACTTTGTTTTCCTTAATGGGTTTCAATAAAAATTTTCAGTTGTTGCAATTCACGAAGGCGATACACACAAGTAAAGCTCACTCGCCTACTTCGTGAGTAGCAAGAACTATACTAAATAATATACTATTCCTTCCCCTACTTTTATTTCAACTGAATGTCCTTTTTCATGCCGTTCCCTGTCCTAATAACATCGCAATTTTAAATTTTTACAACAAATATAGCTGTTTTATAATCGGAGTGCTCTTTCACTTTCGTTGCTGTAGTGGTGTCATTTCAACGCTCCTGCTCATTACAATAGTTTACAATTTCTAATCCGGCGAGCAGTTCACGTGTTCATCTATGCGACTATTATTTTTTACAACGTGGAAGGTCTTTTTCATCAGTATTTTTAGCACGATCTTAACTTTTTTACTTGGTAACCTGAGATGATTATGTGGGTCATATGGCAAATAAATATGTACTGGATTCTTAATAAAATAACGAGAAATTAACTTAAATGTTTGTACAAAACGTGGGACTGATGCATTTTAGACAGTATTCACGTAAAAGTTTAGTTTATTATTTATAAGAAGTTGTTTTTTGTACGTTGCAAGTTGATTTTGCTATTGATTTATTTCTAGGCTGTCATATTATACGTCCTATTGATTCCGGTTCCATTGACAATTCGACATGATACAATTTTTTTATAATATGGTTAAAATGAACATTATTATAATTTAATCAATTTTACTCTCAAATCTGAAAAAAATAATTTCAAGTTTTGCTTTATAAAATAATATCAATTATTGGATTAGTTTACAAATACCACCGACAAATATTATGCGCGAGCTTACCATATCCGAACGTTGGTCACGATGGAGTCAGGTCACTGGATTAATATTTATGCCGTATACAAAGCAGATTCTAAACTAAATCATATTCTAATACCAAACCCATTTTTAAACTTTAGATATCTGCGGTGTATTTTTCGTTAGAGGGGCCATACAAGGTGTCATACTGGTGATGTAGTGATAGCAAAAAAGGGGTGTGTTTATTGTTTTTTAATGGTAGAGTTGTCAGAGTAGGTCAAACTATTTGTAGGGTACCCCCAGTGGTATTTATGTAATAGACTAAGAGCTGGTGAATGCCAGACCTACGTCATTTTTTAAAAGCTGAAAGTTTGTCAGCTTATGCTCCCAATATAGGATATAGTTCCAAAATACTGGACTGTCCTATCGATGACATTGACAGTGGGGCGCCACCGTCAATACCGGATCGCTGGTTCCGATTTTTGCCATGTTGGAAACCTTATAGTTGAACGATGGTAGCGCCCCCCTGTCATTGAGTTTGGTGGGACAGTTCAGCGTGGGTCATCTATACAATGTTGGTGAATCATGAAGTTTGGGTCATCTTGGCTTTGGCAGCTATCCTAAAAAAAACTGTTTGGCAAGGAGTTGGAACTTTCAAAACTGTCTGGCTGATGTTATAGCATAAAAGTTGATTTTTATATAAAATATTGGGGCAATAATTAGAAGTAATTTCCTCGTCAGCCAGACAGTTTTGACAGTTCCAACTCCTTGCCAGACAGTTTTTTTAGGATAGCTGCCAAAGTCCGCCTTTTTTATCTTAAATGTTGTGCAAAAAGATTCAAATAAGTTGGTGGTCGTGTACAAGTGTAGCATCCCCGTACATACATACCCACTGTCAGATCTCGTGGCTGGTCATGGGCTGCTGGTCCATGAGCGCGTTACGTAAGTCAGTAGTGTAGTGTGGGCGTTACGTAAGTCAGCGGTAGTGTATTGTGGGCGTTACGTAAGTGAGCGGTAGTGTAGGGTGGGCGTTACGTAAGTCAGGGGTAGTGTAGTGTGTTCGTTACATTAGTCAGCGATTCTGTAGTGTGGGCGTTATAGAGCGGTAGTGTAGTCTGGGCGTTATAAGTCAGTAGAAGTGTAATGTGGGCGTTACATTAGTCAGCAATTCTGTAGCGTGGCCGTTACGTAAGTGAGCGGTAGTGTGGTGTGGGGGTTACATAAGTGAGCGGTAGTGTAGTGTGGGCGTTACGTAAGTGAGCGGTAGTGTGGTGTGGGCGTTACAAAGTCAGCAGTTAGAGTAGTGTGGGCGTTATAAGTGAGCGGTAGTATAGTGTGGGCGTTACAAAGTCAGTAGTTAGAGTAGTGTGGGCATTACATAAGTGAGCGGTAGTGTAGTGTGGGCGTTACNAGTGTGGTGTGGGGGTTACATAAGTGAGCGGTAGTGTAGTGTGGGCGTTACGTAAGTGAGCGGTAGTGTGGTGTGGGCGTTACATAGGTAGGAGGTAGAGTAGTGTGGGCGTTATAAGTGAGCGGTAGTATAGTGTGGGCGTTACAAAGTCAGTAGTTAGAGTAGTGTGGGCATTACATAAGTGAGCGGTAGTGTAGTGTGGGCGTTACGTAAGTGAGCGGTAGTGTAGTGTGGCCGTAACGTAAGTGAGCGGTAGTGTGGTGTGGGCGTTACATACATACCCACTGCCAGATCTCGTGGCTGGTCATGGGCTGGTCCATGAGCGCGTTACGTAAGTTAGTAGTGTGGTGTGGGCGTTACATAAGTGAGCGGTAGTGTAGTGTGGGCGTTACATAAGTAAGCGGTAGTGTAGTGTGGGCGTTACGTTAGTCAGCGGTAGTGTAGTGTCCCCGTACATACATACCCACTGCCAGCCTAGAGCTCGTGGCTGGTCATAAGCCAGTAGTGTGGTGTGGGCGTTACATAAGTGAGCGGTAGTGTAGTGTGGGCGTTACATAAGTGAGCGGTAGTGTAGTGTGGGCGTTACATAAGTGAGCGGTAGTGTAGTGTGGGCGTTACATAAGTGAGCGGTAGTGTAGTGTGGGCGTTAGATAAGTGAGCGGTAGTGTGGTGTGGGCGTTACATTAGTCAGCGATTCTGTAGTGTGGGCGTTACGTAAGTGAGCGGTAGTGTAGTGCGGGCGTTATAAGTGAACGGTAGTGTAGTGTGTGCGTTACATACATCAGCGGTAGTGTAGTGTGGGCGTTACATAAGTGAGCGGTAGTGTGGTGTGGGCGTTACATAAGTGAGCGGTAGTGTAGTGTGGGCGTTACATAAGTGAGCGGTGCGGGACTATTCTGACCTCTCGATCCAACCACTGCAACTCCTGTGTACCCAGGATCTACAGCTTGACCGCCTCAAAAACCCAACCAATGAAGATCAAGTTTGTCCCGGTCAAGTGTGTGTGAGCGTTTTAAGTCGGCGGTAGTCTAGTATCCTCGTACATACATACCCACTGCCAAATCTCGTGGCTGGTCATGGGCTGGTCCATGAGCGCGTTCTGCCAGATGCGGAACAGCATGAGGTAGGCCTTGTCGCGGCCCGAGAACGACGTCAGGAAGCTTTTCTCGCTCTCCGTGCACACCAGGATCGCGTTCGGGATCACCTGGGGAACACATGGTGTTAACTTATCATCATTTCAGCCATAGGACGTCCGTTGCTGAACATAGGTCTCCCCCAATGATTTCCATGTTGACTGGTTGGTGGCGGCCTGCGTCCAGCGCCTTCTGTTTGAGAAATCAAAGACCGTAGTGTATTCGTATCGCGTTCATTATAAGACTAAACTGTCAACGGCGCTGCACACATATTTATACAGTGTGTCCGGGCATGTAGTGATCAAACTTTAAGGGCGTAATCTATGGACAATTTTATCGGTGAAAATACTTTAAATTTGGGGCTTGACCCATTTCTCGCATATTTACAAGGATTTAAGTTTTTAATTTTAAGTTTTCACCTCTTCCTTCCAAAACAAGTGATAGCGTGGGTAGTTTAACATTAATAAGCAAAAATTTTATATCATGCGATAGCTAATAAAATTATCTATTAGTAGAAGTAGAAAACAGATACAAGTATCATACATTTTAAGGGTGTAAGAATGGATTTAATTAGAAATAAACACGATTTTTTTCACATCTTTTTCAGTTATTTCCCAACACAAGAAAAACCAGGTCGTTAAGGTATGTTTTATTTGCATTTTATTATTAGTATTTGAGCTATTCTACAAAACGAATGTAAATTTATTAGTCTACGTCTATTAATTTCCACGTAATTGTTGAACAAAGATACCCCTTCCCAGCGGTTTCCATAGCGCACGCGACATGCGAAAATGCACTGCCTGAAAGAATCACACAACCTATTCCGATTACTATGGAAACCGCTGGGAATGGGTATCTCTGTTCAACAATTACGTCGAAACTAATAGACGTAGACTAATAAATTTACATTCGTTTTGTAGAATGGCTCAAATACTAATAATACAATGCAAATAAAACATACCTTAACGACCTGGTTTTTCTTGTGTTGGGAAATAACTGAAAAAGGTGTGAAAAAATCATGTTTGTTTCTAATTAAATCCATTCTTACTCCCTTAAAATGTATGAAACTTGTGTCTGTTTTCTACTTCTACTAAAAGATAATTTTATTGGCTATCGCATGATATAAAATATTTGCTTATTAATGTTAAGTTACCCACGCTATCACTTGTTTTTGAAGGAAGAGGTGAAAACTTAAAATTAAAAACTTAAATCCTTGTAAATATGCGAGAAATGGGTCAAGCCCCAAATTTAAAGTATTTTCACCGATAAAATTGTTCATAGATTACGCCCTTGAAGTTTGATCACTACATGCCCGGACACACTGTATAGTGGTGTTAAGTCTACCCTCTTTATTCTATACATTACACTGTTGAGTCAAGCAAAATAAAGGGGATGTATGAACGCCACTCAAAGATTTTTATACTGGCTACAGCAGTGAGACGAATATCGTGTTATGCACAGGTTAGAAAATTAAAAGCTTTTAATGGCTGCTGACAAATCCTAATGATGATAACATAAGTGCCACTTGTGGTCTAAACTGAATAAATAATTTTGATTTTGATTTTGATTTTGAACATCTATTCCCACCGCTGTAACTCCTGTGTAGCCAAGATCTACAGCTTGATCGCCAATAAAAAAAACCCAACCAGTGAAGGTCAAGTTTGTCCCGGGGGAAAGTTAAACTGTCATTGGACCCGCAAAGAAATTGATCAGAAGAACATAGGAGGAGTTCGAAGTTAAGGTTCGACTTCCTCCAGTGCAAAGCGGATGACAGGAGACAAAACAAAGGTTAAGTAACGTTTAAGAAAAGATATGCACAGCGGACAGTAAGTATAAATTATGGGGGACCTATCTTGTGAGCTATAGCTAAAGTCCGGTCGCCAAGTACTTAGAATTTAAAAATAAAAAATTAAAATTCATAAAATTCATTTATTTTTGCAAATAGGCTTTAAAAAAGCGCTTTTACACGTCCCAATATTAATCCTACCACTGCTTCGGGACAATAAATGGGCCAATTTCGTCCAATAACCCCCAGCTTTCCATCCTTATCGCTCGCACGTAATTATGTTGCTGTCGCGCTCGCACATTCACTGCGGCCGCCCGTCGCACAATCGCGACAGGAATATAATTACGCGCGAGCAATAAGGATGGGTAGTTTGGGGTCATTGGCCAAAATTCTACGTGCTCGGCGACCGGACTATACCTGCCATTAATATTTTTCACAAAATCGCTTAAAAGCATGGAAACTGATGATGAATGGTGATAGTTCGTACCAGCGCAGTCTTCTCCTTCGTGATGGCGGTGACGTCCTTCCAGCGAAGCGACAGCGAGGTCTCCCAGCCGAAGATGGACGCGTAGAAGCACAGGTAGTTCTGCGACGCGTATAGCCGCCCGTGGACTAATATATCCTTCTGTAGTGCGCAGGAGTAGTCTGCAACGAAAAGGGAAAACAATCAGCTCAATATGATTGTTTATTGGAGGTTGTGGTCAGACAAATAGCTCTCATAGAATAGAACAGGGAAGCACAGGTAATTCTGCGACGCGTATAGCCGTCCGTGGACTAATATGTCCTTCTGTAGTGCGCATGAGTAGTCTGCAACGAAAAGGGCAAACAATCAGCTCAATATGATTGTTTATTGGAGGTTGTGGTGGTCAAGCACAGCAGAGAAACATAGTTCTGCTACGCATATAGCCGCCCGTGGACTAGGATGTCCTTCTGTAGTGCGCAGGAGTAGTCTGCAACGAAAAGGGCAAACAATCAGCTCAATATGATTGTTTATTGGAGGTTGTGGTGGTCAAGCACAGCAGAGAAACATAGTTCTGCTACGCATATAGCCGCCCGTGGACTAAGATGTCCTTTTGTAGTGCGCACGAGTAGTCTGCAAAAGGGAGAGCTCAATATTATTGTTTATTGGAGGTTGTGGTCAGACAAATAGCTCTGACAAAATAGAACAGGGAAGCACAGGTAGTTCTGCGACGCGTATAGTCGCCCGTGGAATAATATGTCCTTCTATAGGGCGCACGTAATGACTGATTGTTCTCCCTTTACTTTGAAGACTATTTCTTCAAAGTAAAGGGAGAACAATCAGTCATTACTATCGTTGTGGAAAGGCAGGGAAAGCCAGTTGATCTGGAAATGGTACTACTCCAGAACCTTAATCGCAAATCTCATTTTATGTACCAGTGCCCCTCCCCCCCTCTGGTTTTGAAGATGTTAAACAATTATCTTACAAGTATTAAGGCATAGTTAGTTAAGTTTTGGAGGGCAATCGAAAAACGCACTTAGTCTCTTGATTGGGTCAATGTGCGCGATTTGTGGTACCTTCCTACTCCAACCAACCCGCTATAGTCGCTACAGGCCTCCTGCAGCGATGCTGGTGATTGGAGAACTTGAGTCCGTTGATCGGCTACGCTTCTGCACTCCATGAGCACGTGCTGCGGTGTTTCTTCTGACTCCACAGTCCTTGAATAGCCACTTGAAGTCGTCGGACTTGCTCTTGTAGGTGGGATACAGCGCGTTGTACCAGCTCTTCTTGTCTAGTTACTGCTGGAAGAGTTGTGGCGGTATACTGACCTACAATGAGCCTCTCATCGTCAGGCAAGTCCTTGAACAGCCGCTTGAAGTCGTCGGACTTGCTCTTGTAGGTGGGATACAGCGCGTTGTACCAGCTCTTCTTGTCTAGTTACTGCTGGAAGAGTTGTGGCGGTATACTGACCTACAATGAGCCTCTCATCGTCAGGCAAGTCCTTGAACAGCCGCTTGAAGTCGTCGGACTTGCTCTTGTAGGTGGGATACAGCGCGTTGTACCAGCTCTTCTTCTTGGAACGCGCGGTCCCGTCGGCCCCCCGCGCCCCTGCGGGAGATGTGATCTGTACCTGAAAACGTATTCGTTCAAACCTTTATACATCGACATGACTTGTATTAGTAATTCAAAATCTACTTTAATACAAGGTATGATTTTGATTGCAGCATCATTGTTGTTTTGGTCGTAATTTAAAACTCATTTCAAAAGGCCTCACCTATGACGACCGGTCCTGCGTTACCCGCATCCAGGTACTTCTCGCAACTTTGACTAGATCGCCGAGTTAAAGTTCTGTTTACGAATTTATACTGCGAGCTTGGCAGGTGAAGTTCATGCACTCATGCCATATTATAAGTAATCCCATCAAAACATGTTCATGTAAAGTTACGCCAAGACGAGCACGTATTCGCACTCTAAAAAAGGTCGCTTACTATGGGCCTCACAGAAGGCTCAAGGTCAGGCACATAGCTCGTAGAGCTGATGGCCGCTGGGCAAAAAAGTTCTCGAATGGCGACCACGAGCCGGAAGACGTAGCGTGGGCAGGCCTCCCACTAGCTAGGTGGACCGACGATCAGGTGATGGTCGAAGGAAGTGCCTGGATGCGGGCGGCGCAGGACCGGTCTTTGTGGAAAACCTTGGGGGAGGCCTTTGTCCAGCAGTGGACGTCTTTCGGCTGAAACCTGAAACGAACGAACGAAAACGATGGTTGTGGTCTGGTGGAGGATACCTTGGGGTTGTCTCCCTTGCCGGCGTTGATGACGGTGACGAGGTCAGTGGCGCTGGACACCGACGCCGAGTCCGAGTTCGACGGCAGGTGCAGGGACGAGTTGCTGCCCTGAAAAAGGGATTATAGATTTTTACTAGAGCTGTATTACACAAACATAGCTGACTAGATGAGCACTCTTTTTTTATCCACAACGAGGAAGCTCTTGGCCTGTATCTCACCTGATGGTAAGTGATGATCAGGCCGAAGGTGGAAGCGAGCTTCACCCGGAATCCTCAACCACGGAGAAACTGGCTATCTTACATTGTTGTTATGGCTAGCCAGGCGGACTTAGAACAAGCCCTACCACCAACCAAACCGAACAGAAAAATCTGCCCACACTGGGAGTCGAACCCGGGACCTCTGCGTCTGAAGCAGGTGGTCTTACCACTAGACCACAGAGGAGGTTAAACACACTCAATCATGTGTTCGTTTTAGACTCTACAAACATTTTGGTCTTAATCAAGAAAGCCTACCCCCCACTAATGACAGCACAGGTGTCCTCTGGTGATATACATATAGTGGTTCATGACCACGGGAATAACGTTTCAGTTAGAAGGCGTTATTGTAATGAATATAATTATTGCAATTAAGACGAATTTCCAAAGTTACGCTAGAACACACGCACTAACTAAGGGCTACTAAAATTTTAGTCTGAGCCGAGACTTTTTAAGCTACTGGAAACAGTTGATTGATTTGGTTCTAACGATTACAAGTCTGATGAGCCTTCAGTTCATTCTTCTTCTTCATTTCTTATCCCAAAAGTCTGGTTTATGATCTAATTGATGTCTGTCTAATCAATTAATAAATGGACCAAAAACCGTAGCCCAGAAATCTACACCAGTACCGGAACTCAGTATGCATGAGTACCAAGCAGCTAATAAATGTATTTATTGCATCGAATTACATCTGGCAATGAATTTGGGACGTAAACAATGAAGGCCTGTGTGACCTCACACGCGCCGGACGAAGGCAATTACAGTTGAACAGCCAAACCTCACCGATGCTGGTTAATACCTGTCTAGATTATGGTAATTGGCCAATGTGTGAATCATCGGGACTGTTGCCGGACTTTGGCTTGTTAGATGCTGGTGCTGATATTATGTTACAGACAGTTTTTTATTGTTACAGTTAGACAGTAATAACCATTGAATCCACCAAGTTATTTATTAAGTAAAGGTGCAGACCATCGACTTTTAGTTGGCTAATAGTTGAGCCCGATTCTAATTTGTATGAAGAATGGGTCTATAACAAATTGGTGTAATGTGCAAACTTCGATACATGCCCATACTGATTAACTGCCCGACTAAACAAAAAGTCTTCAGTCTGCGCCTAGGCTAAGAAACATGGTTCCAGTTTTCAGAGGATACTAAGGCTTTTGCTTGGCAGTCGTGGTGGGTTGTACCGGTTTTTTGCGCAACCCGACATCTAAGTAAGATAACTTGCTCCTTATACTAATATATCGTAAAATAAAACATAAGTTAAAAGGAGAATTTGATGAGTATAATTATAGGTAGTTACCTTGTCATTGTCTAAGGTGTCCAAGCCGGGTTCTAGGGCACGCACTGATGGGGATGGAGGCCTGGACACGTTTCTGGAATACAATAAAACACCTTTTTAATGAATTTTACTTAGCTAAGTCCCTAATGAAATAACTATGTAACTATTACGAGACTGGATCGAAGTTAGTCCAGTTTTTCAGACTAGCTCATACCAAGAACGGCTGTACAGCTGCAGACGACGCATGACAAACTGTGTGTTTAATGCAAGTAACTAAACATGCTGGAGTTTTAACCTATAAAATATTCTAACCGGTAGTGCCCACTATTTAATACTATGTACGTAAATAAACAATAACTGTCGAGTGCAAGTAAACAAGTAAATAAACAATGTCACGCGTAATCGACAGCAGGCAGATATCCGTCAATTAATACAATATTTAATAACCCAATTTGCAGAGATAGTAAGACAATAGGGAAATTATCGGGTAACAAACATACTCGTAATATAACCTCGATGAATACTACATACCTACATACATTTGTTTGCAGGTAAATAAATAACTTAGTAAAAGAATAGATTAGGTAGCGGGAAGGCGCTGGATGCAGGCCGCTACCAACCGTGCGATGTGGAAGTCATTGGGGGAGGCCTATGTTCAGCAGTGGACGTCCTGTGGCTGAAATGATGATGATGATGAAAAGAATAGAACGCAGCTGAGAAAATTAAACGTGGGTCGCGTACGAGTATGTACCGCGGCGGTTGCGGGTTTGAATTCCTCTGGAGTCTGGGCAAATTTTGATGAGATAGTTAAGCACAATCGGAAATGTTTCATTGATAAATCGTTTCAAGTTAGACTGTTTTTGTTTGTAAGCAGAATAAAATCAATAAAACATCAGACCCTTCGTCATTTCGTCCCGTCTCCTCTCGAGGGATCGCCGTCCCACCACCATCTGCATCCATTTGTGTAGAAACGACACTTTCTTTCAAAAATGCACTACACGATCACAAGTTCACGGCTAGCTTCGAGAGCTAGATAAAAATCACAACAAAGTAGCGGTTGGTAACCGAGTGAGTCACGGATTCTGTTGCAAAACAGCAAAAAGTGACTTGCGAAATTGGCAATGGCATTCACTTTGGAGCCTTTGTTTCGGTGCCGCAACCACAGCACCAGCAAAGGCTAGCAGTGAGAAAACTGGAGCTATTATTTACTTTAGAACTGATCAGACAGTACATAGAGCTAGAGTAACAATCGGGCATTGTATGTACTTGTAATATTATATCGGATTTGATTTTACTGCATATAAATATAGTCAGATGTGTTGACGAGACGAATTACCAACGCGATATGAATGAAACTTTAACTAAAGCTTTTTCAATTAATTTCCGATTCAGCTTTTGTTGATTATCAGGGAATTCCCCGAGGAGAAATTAGTACGGTTTGATTCAGAGCTTAATTAATTTTGATAAGTTATAATCAGATACTGAAATAAAGAGCTAAAATAATGAGAAGCTAAAGGGTCTAAGATGAGGATTGATGAATCAATCCTGTAGAGGCCCGTGAGTTTTTAACTTAGGATTATCATCATGCATTTACCGTTTTCGAAAGTTGCGTTGCCTAGAAAGAGGAACAAAACCCAATGCCAAAAGAATATTTAGTGATTGTCAAGCGTTTAGCAGTTGCTTCAAAACATGCCCTCAACGAATGTGGAAAGTACGTACCTATCTATGTAAATTTGTTTATCGTACAAACCTTCGGAATATCCGGAGGTGATCCGTGCGGAAAAACATTGTCAAACACACACCATGGACTTATGTATTACTCTTTTAGCACAACAACACAGTAAGCACTAGGCAACGTTAGGAGCCTGTCGGCAGGTCATGGGGTCAATAACGTCACAAACAAAATTGTTTTCGACTAGTTTTAAAACTAGCTGTATTCTTAGCAGAATTCTTATTGCACTTACATGTAAACTCTTCGCTTACAACCGGTGGATAGGATCTCACGGTGAGCTAGACAAACAATTAATTGTAGCAAAAGTATTGACTCTAAAATAAACGATGGTAGCTCCGTACATCTGTATATCCCGAAGGATAAGGCTGTTCATGACGTAAAAGGACTTGAAGATGAAAGCATTGGAACCCATCAGTCAAATCCATTAACATTATGTTGTGTAATAAAAGATATCTTGTTTACAATAGTTTTGACTTCCATGTTTTTGATCGCCAGCTCTCTGATAAGGACTAAGGCATCTATGGCAGACTAAATACCTTGAGGGCGAAGCCGCGGTAAAATCTAGTTAAATAAATAAATAAATAAACCAGAAATATTCTGCAACAATCAGTACAGTAGCGAAACAAAGGTTACCTCTGTACCTAACGTCTACGTATGAGTAATTTGTTTTTAATTGACTTGTAGATAAACTCTGGAACGATATTTCTTTGTGTTCGTTAGGAACATAATGGCACGTCGTAAATAGTGTTTATTTATTTGTCACATTGGTTTTAGCAACCATGATAATGATTCTAAGCTAGCAGCAGATAGTTGGCATTACAAAAATTTAAAACCATTGTTAAAATCAATATTAATTAAAGGCTAGTCTCTCAGAAAAGGTTGGCTGTTGATGACAATTAAGTTTCGGAGATACATACTAGAACATACCGAGCATGACATTATTCATAGCTGTTTAAAAAATTGGCGACAGCTTTTACAGATAAAATAGGACAGACAATAGGCAGAACACTTGCGGTAAGATATGGAACACAATCAGCGAAAGTTCCTGGCTCATCTGGTTTTTACAGCCAGCTTTAATGACAGTTTAACTTTCCCCCGGGACAATCTTGATCTTCACTGTTTGGGTTTTTATTGGCGGTCAAGCTGTAGATCCTGGCTGCACTACATATGAGTTGAAGCGGCGGGAACGAGTGGTAGGAATAGTCTAGTCCCAGCTTCATTTCAATAAGCCTCGAGTTCAAAGAAATAATTACAAATATTGGATGGATTCACAAAGCCTGACTTTACATTTCAATCTGCATTCATTCTTAAAAATTTGACTACATTTGAGGTAAACGTAAAACACATTAATTATGCAAATAAGCTACAAAATTGTGTAATGTATTTAACAATCATTACGCCATACATCACACAAGCCATAACATCATTAATATGTAAAAATAATAGGCCCTTTGGATGTTTGAATTAAACTAACCCACTTACTTCAAAATGAGCACTCTCCACATGGAGTCCCACTGGGAATAGAAAACCTGGTATTTGTCTACGTTCATAATTAACCACACGTTTAATTGAAAGTCATATTAACACACAAATAGCACACCCGATACGAACAACCGCAAATGATAAGATAGGGTAGATAATCCTTTTACTATGCCGTTTGTACATATACAGATATAAGAAAGAAAGTATAGAAAACAAATAAACAAAAGACAAGCACCAATTAAAGAGTATACAACTAGATCTTACAACAATGAAGGATTTAAGAGTTCTGAAATTACCGTTTTTATGTTACTTGTGTGATACGAATGCTTCGCGTTTGCGTGTTGGAGAAGATAGTAGGGCTATCGCATACTAGATACGTTGTTTATTAATTATTTATTACAAGTCGATGCCACTGGCTGGCACCTCAGGGTTATGCGTTCGAGTAGGTTAAGTAAGAGATGACATGGAAGGCAGATCGTAACTAAGGTCACTTTCAACAGAATTCAAATGATAAGTAGGTCCTAACAGTAGCAGAAATATAGCTACAGGAGTTTACAGGACTGTCTCAGTATGAGTTTTAACTTTAATCACAAATAGTAAGTAGGCACTTATATTGCATCTTCTGTCCTGATAGGAGAACCATTCTATAATTATGGCCTTTTTTGATGGATATCATCCTTTGGATTGGATCTACGCAACAATTAAAATTGTTAAGTTTTTAAGGTGTGCGTTTAAGAGCAAAGGCTCTACCGACGAAGAAGCGTTCCACTTATCTAACTTCCTTGATTAAAATTTTTAAGGTAGGAATTGTCCAGTAACCACTGTGCATTGCAGGCCCTAAAGAATCATTTTATGTATACACATTTAGGGCACGTGTCAAACAACAATATGTCCTACCTATTTCTTATCTGTTGTATTCTGAACTCAAGACCGTATCTTTTCCTTTATTTAATTAATCCAATAAATAATTACTTATATGTAGGTATAGTTATCTCTACTTTTATTCCATGTGGGCATTAGTTCCCTACGTAATGGTTAGGTAATATCTAACTCTGATGAAGGCAACAACCCTATCATCAGCAGCTCCGAGTAAACAATAGTTAACGCGTGTTAACTATAATTATGCGTATGCTACTTCATCTTTGTTAAAGTGCATGCATAATATCTGGCTGCACTGTCACTGCACGTACGCGCTGACTGGTCTATAAATAAACATTACTCGATTTTTAAATATTGCTTATAGTAAACAAAATCATTCATCCGACCGATTTCGGGCATGGCGACCACTTCAACTCCTGTCTTGGCGGCACTGGTGCCTCCGAAGATGGCTTGACGTAGCCCATCTTCGCGGCAAACCCCCTCGCACATTGAGGGCATCTATCTGAGTACGCCGCCAACATAGTTATAGTGAATGGCGGCAGATGGACGGGCCTTTAAGTCATCGTAAGTAGGTAAACAAAATATCAATATTATGAACAATGAGATTTACCAAATCAAGACTATGGTAGATCGTAAGACCTGGCACCAGAACACGGACGAAATTGATTACTCTCATTTAGATGAGGGCTACATATTGCTGGTACCTCTTTTAAGCAGGGATCTTAGGATCTTTAGGACCCTAGAACCCTTCCATGTAAAGCCTACAGCGACGCTCAGTCGTATCGAACGATGTTGAGCAATGAACCATACACAAAGGTTGTCAATTAACCTTTCCATTTACTGCAGGCACACTTGATTTAGGTACGCATGTGTCCCTATGACCGCAAAAGTCGAATTAATCTTTAACATATTATGATCAAGCCTGCTTTAGGATTGGGAAGAAATCACAGGCTGGAGAATAGTCATATTTGAGTGTTGTGATAAATACAGGCGTCGTCCGTCGGCCAAATCATGAAGTGCCGGTGTTTCACGATTTTCCCGGGCCCTTCATGATGTGGCCATTTCAACGATCGTCCGACGACATAGGTACAGGCTTTAGTGTCATTGTTTTTAACGGCCATCCTGGGACGCACGTTAATTTTATCGCCGAGCACATAAATTGTACGAGTTTAAATGATTTGGATTACTCTAATTAATCCATCCAAGGTTTTTTCAATTAATATTCGTGAATCGTAATGCGAGTAGTACACGTACAAAGCGACGCACGTAATGTGTCAAATGTAGAGCAATAAAAGCGGTAAAAATTATAATGGCCAATTAAAATGTAGTAGACGAAAAGTTTAGCTCTCAGCTCTTGCATTGTAGCAACATTCTGGTAGGTATGTGTTACATAAGGCGGCCACGACGAATTTCGTGACTTTAGTAACAAAAATCTAAATTTTAAGCCAGATGTACTCTATTAGCACACGTATCGCGTTATGAATCAGAGGTGGAATTGTGTAAAGCAATCTTTATCATTTAACAGTTCATAACGTACGATTATTCTGTCAAACGCTTTGTTTAACTGACTCTATCGTACGTTATGAACTGTCGAATGATTACGATTGCTTTACACAATTGCACCTCTGAACTTAGATGCATCGAAAGGTTTTGATTTACAGGAACACTTTATTCAAGTCGCCATTATTCAGTTCCTAGGACACTTTGGACACGCGGGTGTCCAGTAAGGACACTCAAATAATGTCATATGTTTGAGTGCGCCATGCGCCCGCCCGCGCATCCTGGCCAAGCATATTTGTTAACCATTTATTACTACTGTATAAAAATTATATGGTATTTTTTGAAATAAAATAAATTGCAAGTAGCTCACCTGGTTTCCTGTATAATTTGGTTGGCGTGCTGTGTGATGACTCCAGAGAAAGTGAGGGCTTGACTGATGCTCTGCCCGATGGCGTCTTGAGACGAGATCACCAGATTCTCAACTGATTTTCTCCTGAACATGAGAATAATACAAAACATAGAATTTTAGCAAATTGTAGACAGAAGATAGTTTTAACACTACAGTACACGCGCCCCTTTTTTTACACCAATACACGCGCGGCCTACTCTGGTAAGCCAATTTAAAATCACTGTAAATCAGTTTGTAAGCAATTTATGAATAAAATTACTATGTAAATAATAAAAGTGTTTATTATAGTTCTTTTATAATCAAAGTTTCTTTAAAATACTATTTGGGATCAAACATTATAAACGGATTTAAAATTTGTAAATTTTTTGGACCAAAATTGCACTCTGAAATCCATGTTAGCAAAAAAATTATTTACTGAAAAAATATGATTTGTTTTTTATCTTTCATAGTATTCAAGACTTTCTACTACCTGGTACATGGGGTAAAATCATTTTTTGCAAGTTTTCCATATTTTTTTTGTCGAGTGATTTCGGGCTTTTGAGTAGACCCGCAGTTTTGACGTCCAATTTTAGAAAAATGTGCAGACGCTAGCGACCAAAGCTTTACTGGCTTATTGACAAATTTAGTAAACGAGGCTTTCCTGGAATGCCAGCTCTCTGGCGCAAGTTATTAAAAAGTTACAACGTAAAATGTTACCCTGGTCTACTATAGTAGGCCACGCGTGTACTCTAGTGTTAATAAAATAAACCTTATGTGTTCCTTTTCTTTCTGTTCTTTTTGTGTGGTGTGCAATAAAGAGAATTTATTATTATTATGTGCATTTATGATGACACTATGTATATCAAGTCAAATCTAATAGTTTCTTGAGTATATAGGCCCTTTCCAGAGCTCTTATTATACACATCCAAAAATAGGTAAGCATACTGTCATTGAAGATAAGCAAATATAAAGAAAAAGTTATGTTTCACATTAGGTTTATATTAACTCAAGTCCCTGCTTATCCACGAAAATGATTTTTACATGAAATTATTTATCAATTTAATCAAATTAATGTTTATTTGCATCCATAGTTTAGCATTGTAATAATACATAGCCACGCTGACCTCACTGCTTGATTTACATTACAACAGAAGCTTTATGCATCAATTACAATTATTGCATTACTTATTTTACTAAACCATAATTTTATACTGGTTCAAAGTATTAGAAATAATTATTTATTTAAAACTTGCAAAACAAAACCACTTTATTGATAAATGAAATTATTTTGCATTCTGTATAAATAACAAAAACTGCAAAATCAGGCAATACAAAAAGTAAATGCTATAGACATGGATTAAGTGTTATAATAGTAGCTTATTACAAGATAAACTGATTAATAAAGTAAAACTAATCAATAGCTAATGGTGATTGGCATACACACACTTTGATATTTTTCCCACAATTTAAAACACACTAATTGTTATGAACTGTTAAGGCCAAAGTTATTTATTTGTAACTGTGGGCGGGTACAAATGTTATGTTTATCAGAAGTCGGGTAATTTTCTAATTGGATACATCTAAGTCAAGCATGAAATGTGTTGATGTAAACAACACCCAAAATTAAAAGAAGTGTTTGTAGCCAGCAAAGTTTCGGCGCAAATAGAGCGAAATAACAAAAACTACGCTAACTATTTGTCTTTCACTGCTCGCCTCGCAGTCCCAGACTTTATTTAGTGCATTGACCCCTTCGGAGTAAACTTAATTATTTCATCTAGTTAACAACTAGATCACCTCTTATCTGCTAACAGATAAAACAAACAAGTGTTTTGCACCGTCTACGTATAAACAGAGCGAGGTGATCACTCTATAATTAGTAGAAATGCGTCAATAATACTAACATGGAAATTGTGATGTTGCGGCTGTCCAATTCGGAGGTGCCCATAGTTTCAGCGGTGTCTTCTAATTCACGTTCACGGTAGGCACACGCGAGTGGTCATTAGCTGACCTGTTTTTTGCTATCATCATCCAAATAAAGGATTTTTTGCACAAAATTACAAAGAAATGAGATTGATTTTGATTCGGTGGACATTAGCGACTGACAGTTGGCGTTTGGGATTGCCATCAGTAAAAAATATTTTTTCATGGTGAACTCAGGCTAGGCTCTAAGTTTAGCAAAAACAAAACGGAATTATAGGTAAAACAGTTCGGTTTCAATGCCGTGAAAGAAAATTAAAAATTGTACTTTTGACAATCAGATCAGCTGTCACTGTCACTGTCAACACCACGTGAGGCCGTAAGGATACTATCCGAAGCCGTTAAACCTGTTAGGAAAAAAAAAACAACACCACGTGAGAGAATTTTGTTTTGCGTGGTGGTTTTACGTTTACAGACTCGTTTTTTATAATGCAAATACAATATTAATGAATTAAATAATGGCAGACGAAAGTGCATTTGATAAGAAGAAAGCCCACCGGGCAAAGCGAGCCGGAAGAAAGGCAGACAAAAAGAAAAAGAAGAACCAAATCGATACATCTAACCTAAGTGCTCGTCAAAGAAATCCGAAAGCTTTTGCTATCCAGTCGGCAGTTCGTGCTGAGCGACAGTTCCGCCGCAGAGAAGATGTCATCGCCAAGAAGCAGCACATCCCGCAGGTGGACAAGACCCCGCTGGAACCTCCTCCCATCATCGTCGCCGTGGTCGGGCCTCCTCGCGTCGGGAAGACAACCCTCATCAACAATCTCATCAAAAGCTTCATCAAGACGAATGTCACCAGCACCAACGGGCCAATAACCATCGTCACGTCGAAGAAGCGCCGGATTACTCTGATCGAGTGCAACAACGACATAAACTCGATGATTGATATCGCGAAGTGCGCCGATCTTGTTCTGCTCCTCTGCGACGCTAGTTTCGGCTTCGAAATGGAAATCTTCGAGTTCCTCAACATCTGCCAAGTGCATGGAATGCCAAAGATCATGGGTGTGCTCACCCATCTTGATATGATAAAGAATGCTAAAACATTAAAAATGACTAAGAAAACTCTGAAGCACAGATTCTGGACTGAAGTCTACCAAGGAGCTAAGCTGTTTTATTTGTCTGGTATTGTCCATGGGGAATATCTACGAAATGAAATCAAGAATCTGGCAAGGTTTATCTCCGTGATGAAGTTCCGACCGCTGAGCTGGCGAATGACTCATTCCTATGTGCTTGCGGACAGAATGGAAGATGCTACTAACCAGGAGACCATAAGAAAAGATCCCAAAGTCAACAGAGATGTCATTCTGTATGGATATGTGAGAGGGGTGCCTCTTATGAAAGAAACTATGGTGCACATAGCTGGTAAGTAAACAGTTGAACATAATAACTATACAATGAATTTTAAAAGGATTCTTTCAAAATGTAAACTATTTATTAACTGTAGGAAAAATAATAGCTGAGATTGTGTTTCAAAGTCTGGGTTTTGCATTGGTGTATCATGTTTAATTAATTATTTTAATCATTCTCTTTTAATATTTCAGGTGTTGGAGATATGAAAGTCGGTGAACTTTCATACTTACCTGATCCATGTCCATTGCCGAGCAGTGAGAAGAAACGACACCTGATGGAACGAGAAAGGCAGATTTATGCCCCCTTCTCTGGAGTAGGAGGCATTGTCTATGACAAAGATGCAGTTTACATTGAACTCCAGGGATCCCACTCCCACAAGCAAGAGGATGAAGAGACTAATGAGAAGAAGGCACTGCTTAAAAATGTAGTTGAAACAACAGAAACTATTGATGAACAAATGCAGGAGTCCGGTTTCAAACTATTCAGTGGTGGAGCCGTTATTTACCCTGACATGTTGAAGAATGATGAGTACTTACAACAGAACAAAAAGAATCAGCCAGAAAGTTCAGATGATTCGGATTCTGAAGAAGAGGGCTCAGACTCTGAACACGACAGTGGTATTGATCAAAGTGAGAAAGAAGCTGGCAAAGCTGATAAAATGCCCTGGGACAACTCGGGAGAAGAAGGCGAAGACAAAGATGATGATGATGACAAAGACAGTAAATCTCAAAGTGAAAATGAAGACTCAGAAAATGAGCAAGATTTTGGGAATAAATGGAAAGAAAAATTGGGTGAAAAAGCCACTGAGGCATATTTTGAAAGACAGAAAACTTCAAGAAACATTATGAAACTAGTCTATGGAGAATTTGAGATTGGAAATAAAACTAAAGAGCAGAAAGAAGTGTCTGATGATGAAAGTGATGAAGAAGAAATTGGTGGTCTGTTTAAAAAAGTAACAGCAACTCAGAAAAAGAAACTGAAGGAAAAAGAAAGGCTGGATATGGATGAATGCTCATTCTTTTATTCATTGGATAAGCCAAATATACGAGATTGGAGTACAGATGCCAATAAACAATACTTGATAAATAGTTTTGTCACTGGCAAAAGATCAGCAGATGAAGATGCGTCAGAACTTCTTAAACTTGATGACGCCAGTGACGGGGACGATGAAGAGTTATTTGGTGACTTTGAAGATTTAGAGACAGGAGAAAAACATTCGGCGGAAGATAAAGAGAAAACTTCAGATACAGAAGTGGAAACAGGCACAAAGCGTAAGGCTGAACCAACTAAATCTGAAATCCTTGATAAAAAGATGAAGTTGAAAGCCAAGTTTGATGCAGAGTATGACAACCCTGATGATCACAGAATCAAAGGTGATCATTCTTACTACGAAAATTTAAAAGCAGAAGCTTTGAAACAGTCAGAACTTAATAAGTCGGTATTTGAAAATCTTGATGAAGGATTGAGGATAGAAGTAGAAGGTTTCCGGCCTGGTTTGTATGTGAGAATGATGTTCAAGAATGTCCCTTCTGAATTTGTAACCAATTTTGACTCAAGCTATCCAATACTCATTGGATCTTTGAATATGGCTGAACAAAATATTGGTTTTGTTTCTTGTAAAGTCAAAAAGCACAGGTGGTATAAAAAGATCTTAAAAACCAATGACCCCCTTATAATTTCTTTAGGTTGGCGTCGATTCCAAACACTTCCGATTTATTCAAAGATTGAAGATGACTTGAAGTGTAGATATTTGAAATACACACCAGAGCATGTCACCTGTAACATGCATTTTTATGGGCCTGTTACTCCACAGAACACTGGGTTCCTAGCGTTGCAAACTGTGAATAACAACTCAAGTGAAATCAAGAAATTAGGATTTAGAATAGCTGCTACAGGCAGTGTCAATGAGATCAACAAATCAACACAGATAGTAAAGAAACTGAAGTTGGTAGGCACACCTCTGAAAATTTACAAGAAGACTGCTTTCATTCAAGACATGTTCACTAGCACTCTAGAAGTAGCAAAATTCGAAGGAGCGAGGATAAAAACGGTATCCGGAATCAGAGGGCAAATTAAAAAAGCCCTGAATAAACCTGAAGGCGCATTCCGAGCGACATTTGAAGACAAAATTCTTATGAGTGACATTATTTTCTGTCGGACGTGGTTCAAAGTGGACGTCACTAAATTTTACGCTCCAGTCGTCAATTTATTGTTACCTGTCGGAGACAAAAACGCTTGGCAGGGCATGAAGACTAAGGGGCAGTTGAAGAGAGAACGCAATATCAAGAGTGACGCAAACACGGATTCAATGTACACAGAGATAAAAAGGGAACAGAAAGTGTTCAAGCCTTTGGTGATACCCAAAGAGCTGCAGAAAGGATTGCCATACAAATTCAAGCCAAAAGAGAAGAGTACGACACTTTCCGGCAACAATCCTAAAGACCAGTTGAAGAACAGGATAGCTGTAATCAAGAATCCATACGAGCAGAAGGTTTCTAACGTAATGAAGATGATCAAGACTAATTTCGAAAAGAAAAAGGAAGTTCAGAAGGAAGCCACACAAGAAAGGCTGAGCAAACACAAGAAACAGATGGAGGCTGAGGAGTGGCGTCGGCTGAAGAGGCAAAAAGAACTGAAAAAGAAGATTTGCAGACAGCTAAGCAAAATGGGTAATAAGAAGAAACCTCAGATGTAGAAGTGTTTGTAGATAGGATAATAATCTTAATAAAAATTGTATAAAATTACCTACTACGGAATTTCATTTACTTTTTTCTGAAAATACAACAAAGAGGATTCTGTCGCGGATAAATACAGAATAGATTGTCTTATTAGCTCCACAAGATAACATTTCCCACACAGCACCTAGCAAGGAGGAAAAATAAAACAAAGCGTATCGTGTAAATTGTATTTACCTCTTATCATTATGCATAACGTATGTCGTCATCGCACATCTGATAAATATTTTTACAAAGGTTACACAGTAGTTCAGATTACATTGGTCAAAATAATCACTGTCTAGTTTAACAATTTCGATTTCAGACATGACAAAAGCCCCTGTACCACAAGGGAACACCCGTATATTGCGCTAGTCGAGGGCCGAAGCGACTCGTGACACAGAAAGCTTCTCCCATAGACAAAGCAACATTCACTTTTGGTTATATCGAAGCAAGATTTGGATTGGCGATCAGTTCCTAGCTAGTCACGCGCCATCTTAGTTACGTGCGCGTGAGCAGCGAGCAGTGGCTTCGGGCCGAAGTTGCTTTGTCCGCGGGCAGTGGAATGCAGCCGCAAGTGGCGACAGGCCGCGGCCGGGGCGCGAGCAGTACAAACTCTCATACTCCTATTCCAAGCTATGCAACACATTTATGCAAAATTATATACATTCGAAATTTCACTAATCTATTTTACATTAATTTCTTAATGTGGGGGTAACTTAACTCTTTGGTAGCGCGAGCCACTGGGACTACGACGTGGAAAAATATCTCGATTTGTTCGACACAGGCTTCGGCTCATGAACATCGAATGTGGAATGTTATGGAGATACAAAACTATTCTAGTTATTGTTCTTACCGCGCCCGTCGCGCCGAGCGCTTGGCACTTGGGAGCTCCTCACGGAATACTGTCGAGGGAACCGGGACATCGCTACTCTACATCCGATCGTACAGAACGTAGCTACATCCGAAAGCTATACACTAACAAATAACTAAATAACCATCCCGTAAACGTATCATACTCGCATTTATAAAATTTTATGTAGTCGCTATATATAATTTTACTTCATAGTGAAACGATTGATGTGTATAAATGATATTGTGAGCGCCGGGCCCCGGCCGGCCCTGGCTGAGCCCCCGGCACTGGCAGTTAGTACAAAAGTGAACCTTGAATACACAATGCTCGGATCTGCACCGGCCGGGGCTCGGTCGCGGGCGCGGGGCCCCGAAGACACCCGGCTTGACGCTTTCTTTAGCCACAACGACGCACGATAAATATATTATTTATGATTAATTTAAATACATTGAATAATTTTGATATAAAATTTGGAAAACCGCGTGATCCGACCGATCCCCGCTGTCGGTTACGATTCAAAAATTAAATATTAATTTTCAAATTCACACCGGCGGCCACACGATATCTTCCCTATTTTATTAATACTGTTACGCATACACACTATACACCACAACTCACGGGCCCTACTCGTCGTATCGCAGCCACTTCAGCGACGTCGGCGACGAACACCAATATGAGGTAATATTCCAACCGAATTAGGACATGTATGGACAAGTGTTACTAATAAGTAATAACTTAATAAATAATAAGTCCTAGTTTAATAAATAAAGCATTAAAATAATAAAATTAACAATCTAGTCGTTTGAACACATCCTAGCTAAATATTGCTACATTCATTAACTACACATGATAGAAACGCTATATCATAGAAACCATATTTACAATATATTCGCTACCAATAAAGATTTCACAAAATTAAAATCGGTTAGCTATACAATTTTTATATTTCATTAACTATTGAAGACTTAGTTCAGCGGTACGCGGTCAGAACATATTGTTTTCATTGCAAGCAGATATCACGATTTCATTAAGTCTTTACAAAACAGCAATACCTTCTTACACAGATAATAATGTTTGAAAGACACAAATTATGCAGTACTTGTTTTTTGGAGTAATTTCTCCGATCGTACACCGCTGTTGAACTGAAAATCGTGAGCATTCCATGTTGCACAACCTTGTGATAACACTAATAACTTAATTTATTGTACGATCTTATCGACCGCAATTATTTGTATCAGATATCTATAATAAAAATAAATTGAAATTAGTTCCCGATTGTAATTTCCGTTAACAATGAATGATGACAAGTATCGTGCAACGTGAGACGATCACTCGACTTAATTATTTGTATACGTTTTAACAAAAATATACCTAGCTACGTCTCAGTTTATGCTTTCCGCTATAAAGTAGTTTAATAAAATAGAAGATTACAAAACAATGCCGTCAACACTGTACATAAGACTAGTATGTGTGCTCTTCACCGCCAACCGTACGTACTCACGTACCCACACAAACAAACAACAAGCGATAAAGCGTATTGCGACTATTAGTAACTTCGTATTAATATTACTTTGTATTGTGATTGTACGTTAACGTTTAATACCTTTCGTTACTTATTATAATCGTGTTCACTAAGCGCGAACACGGACCGACATGAGAGGCACACAATCATCTACGTAAAGCTATGTATATACACGCCTCGCGAGGCACTTGTGGCCGCAGCGCTATCGAGGACCGGTACAAAAATACGACAACAGCTCGCCCGAATGTCCGATTCAAGTTCGTCGCGAAATCGTAACTCTAACCGACTCACTCCATAGTCAGGGAACGCACGCGCAGCGATACGGAAACAACGAAACGTAAGCATAGTAACAGAGTATATCAAGTTTAGAATAAAGTTATTTTGACAGATTGCGACGTGAGTAGCTGACTATGAAATCAGCCTTAAATATATTAGTTAAATGTAACTAATATTTGGCATCAGAGTATGATTATGATCGATTAGTTATACCGCATCATGTGAATATTCATATGAAGGAATTGAGCAGACAATTTAAAATTTATAGTAATTCATAAGAACATAGCACTTTTTGTAACACATAAGAATATTTTAAAAGAATAGTAAAATTCTATAACGTATAGAAACAATCATCTGTATATTCACATAGACGCGGCGTCGCAGTACATACTTACATATTTCGTAATAATAAATACTGGAATACATGTTAAGTACATAGTAAAACTACCGCATCAGAGCACTTTGTTATTTATATCGATATATCAAGCATAACTTCGCTACAACTGTATATTTTATTAATAGTCAATATACACAATTAGTGAAAACTTTATTGTATTAACAACACTTATTATTTTAGCACGGCAACACTTCTTTATAAAAGTTTATAACATTTGCAGTTCATCAATCTGGAAATTTGTATTAGCTATTTCTAAACGGAAAACGTAATGCGTTCTTTCAAATTCATCGACAATTCTATTGTAATGTTGCCATGTTAAAAATTATAGGGAATAACCACAGACACTGCCGCCATGCCGATTCACTTCGGCATATCTCCAAACGTATGCATAAATATGCAGCCGGTACAATGTCTAAACATGCGAGAGTTCAAGGCAACCGTAACAAGGAATAAATAATTTTTATATGAAGATGATGAATAACAATGACTTTTATCATCATCTTTGACTATTTCGACGGTGGAGAAGTCAAACTGTATATTTTGATTCGCGTCAATAAATTATCGTTTGAACTTTTTTGATCGATTTAAATTGCAATCAAAGGCAACAATTCATGGATTCAAATAAAATTAATACAGTTTATCGCGTGGTATCGGCCAAACAAATGCAAATATCAACTTTCAGACTCGCTCCCTTCGTCGCGATCGCGTATCACTCGGGACAAGTTTGGAAGTTTCGCGAGGGATCGTTTTCGGCGGGTGTAGGCGTCACAGCGCGCGCTCGGGCGGCGGCGGCGGCGCCTAGTTGATGGCGTGGTGTCAGGACGGCTGCGCGTGCGCCGGCCGCGCCGCGCGCTCCGTGCCTGCCGCCAGTAGGTTGCTGAACTCCACTTCAAGGATTTGTCGCGCCTGGGGAACAAGCAACCGAATTGTTGAATAAAGACATATTAAGCCACGTAAAGCCCGGTCCGTGAGCACGTAGAATTTTGTCCATTGACCCCAAGCTACCCATCCTTATCGCTCGCGCGTAAATATATTGCTATCGCGACTGTGCGACGGGCGCCCGCGGTCAGCGTGCGAGCGCGACAGCAACATAATTACGCGCGAGCGATAAGGATGGGTAGCTTGGGGTCATTGGACAAAATTCTACGTGCTCGCAGACCGCAGACCAGACTATAGTAGCAACTGTCAAAGATCAATTTGTTGAACGGTAGCTGCTGTATCACATTGTTGGAGGATTGCTAAGCAAGGAAAGAAGGCAGCTTCGAACCGCGGTTTCGACAGCGTGTTTAGGTTCGTCACAGAAAGACATTATCACACGCATGTTGCTCTTCCAAAAGCTTGGATAGAAAATATCTTGTTCTTTTTCAAGATCTCAGCTGTTTATAAAACAAAATAGCTTTCCTCTGTCTGTCCCTACGTACTCGTATGCTTAAATCTTTAAAACTGCGCAACGAATTTTGATGCGAATTGTAAAACATGCATATTAAAGAAGAAATTCCATTGCAACCGTGCGAAGCAAGGGCAGGCCGCTAGTTGGAGAATAAAACGTGTCTCATTCGAGAAATACAGTATAAGGCTAGCTTTTGTTTTGGTAGTGCTCTGGTCGCGTGCTAAAACTTTTGAAGTATAACTTTAAGAGCGTNAACACACGTTGCTACATTCAGCATCAGCGCTTTAGCCGCTTTTTAGAATGTCTATTCTCATAAAGGATCATTCTCCAGATGAGAAGGGCTTCCCTTAATCCTTATGTACTCAGGGCCCCTAGTAGATTGTAGACGGCCCTAGGTAGAGTCGCTAAAACGCTAGATTCTGATACCGATTCCGAACAAAATCGCGACGCTTCATCGATACGGTCGCAAAATCGCCGATCGCCGATGCTAATAGTTACATGTCTGCTATGGCCCTTAAGGCTATTCGTTACAATGGAAAGTTTGGATCTATAACTTGCCAAAAGTGGAACAAGAAAACCCAT